AATGCAGCCACTGCCTCTTGGGCCGTGGACAGCCCCTAGGTCCAGGTGCTGGGTAGGCCGCCAGCCGCCAGCCCGGGGAGCACCTGTGCGGGGCCCCGGCCTGCGTGGGCCGGGCAGCGCTGCCCTTCCTGGAGGAGGATCAGAGGATCCGGCTGCCGGCATGAGCCAGGGCTCAGAGGGAGCCGCCAGAAGCTGAGAAGTCCAGCAGGGGAATTTCACTACCACAGTGCATGGCTCCGGGGCGCCGGCTGCTGTGGAGGCACAGGCACAGCCTGGACAGGCGTCCACCCCGTCCCCCACAGCCTTGGGAGGTCCAGACACATTTTGTTGAAAACGCAGCACAAAAGGCAGCCCTCCACAGGGGGGCCAGGGACCTGGGCGGGGCCCAAAGCTAATGGCTAGGTTACCTCATGAATGGGAAAGGAGCCCTGCCTTACCTGGAGGCCAGGGGCAAAGCCACGTAAGACTTGGGGTGGCCCGTGGCCAGGTAGTGCTTCCTCAAGAAGCATCCCCACTAGGGTGAGGGCTGGTCACAGGGTTAAAGCTTAACTCGTTGCCTTGAGTGAAGATAGTTTTTCTCCTCCAGATATTTATATACAGATGAATTTGTAGAGCCAAAGGGAATTGGCTAAAATGTAATATTGCCAGAGAAATAGAAGTGTGTTTCAAAGTGCTGAAACCAGAAGCCAAAGGATGCAAATAGGCTTCCCTCTGGCTCTGCTTGGGGTACAGGCGTGAATGAAGTCAGCTGTGACTTCAGGTCGAAGCCTGATCTCCTTTTGGAGTGAACCCGCCTCCTGCAGTGCAGTGCTAGACAGAGATGAGGGGGTGGCTGCCCAGTCCAGGCATGGACTGGCCAGCAGCATATGACCTGAAGTAACTCACGTGGCCCCTCTCCCTTGAAAAATGAGGGGCCGGACACTAGTTGGGTCTCCAGGGCGCCTTTCATTTCACCTGGGAGCCACAAAGGTTCAGGGTACGGGATACGGGCACAAGCACAAAGTCGAGGGGCCGGAAAAAAGGGCTAGCACCTCAGCTTGCTCAGTCAGGAAACCTGCAACACTGCCGAGGCCAGGGCTGGGCGCCAGGCTATCCACCACCGAGATCAGAGCCAAAACCACCCCAGGAAAAGCAAATTTCCATTGTTACCTCAGTTACTTCTAGATGAGCCTGGCTACATCTCCAAACACGCCAGCAGGCCTCCTGACACCTGGCCCTGCGCCTGGGAAGACAGACTTCAGGTGACTTCCCCATGAGAGCCACGCAGGTCTCCACCCAGCCTCCGAGAGACCCTCCTGGGCTCCTCTCTTGATCAAGCGAATGAGTGGAGAAGCAAACTAGGACCTTCTGCCCAGGACACCAGTTGTTAACTGTCTTCAGAGGTCATAAGCACCCAATAATGCATTTCTTCTAAAGCCCAAGTTACCCAGCTGATTGTGGAAACAGCCACAGGGCCATCACTGAAGATGGAGCCATCACTGCTGGGAGTCAGCCCCTGGGAGAGTATCCTGTCTCTGGGCTGATCCCCTGGCTCTGCCTGAGGGGGCTGTTCCCACAGCCACCTCATCTTTTCCATCCCAAATACAAGTCAAGGGCCTTTGCCTGCACTGGGGTGCCAGCCCTCACGGCTGCCTCTTCTGCCCCACAGCAGTGAGTTCACTGGTTTCTGGAAACTCAGTAGCAGTTGAATACGCTGGACACCACTCCTGTGTAGAACCAGGACATCACTCCTGTGTAGAACTCTGAGCCAACTTCGTTTTCCCTTTTCTGTGGTGCCGGACAGCCCCAGCCCTGTGAGGTAGTTGAGTCATTTTCAGAGTTCTTCCCTCTACCTCTAACAACCCCTCAGGGTAAACAGTTCCATTAATCATTGACAGACTCCAGGGGCCCCTCTGCCAAGAACCCACACGGCACTATTTCCACTCCCCAGTTTTCAACATTTGATCAGGCAAGAGATAAGACGTTTTTCTCCTATTAAAAACACTGCGTGCCAAAGCCACGGTCTCTGGTTTTAGACGCCCTAAGCGATATTACGACTGCGAAGAAGCAATCTGGCTTCAAACAGCCCCACGTTTTCAGCTGCCCCACTACTCACACTGGGCCGGATAATTCCTTGTGGTGGGTGGGGGTAGGGAGCCTCTCCTGTACTGTAGGACAGTTTAGCAGTACCCCTGGGCTCTCCCCACTAGGTGCTTGCACCCCAGTTGTGACAACCCAAAATGTCACCAGCCATTGCCAAGTGTCTGTAGGAGTGAGGGGCAAAGTTTTAAACAAACCACTGGAACAGGCCGATTTAACTGTTGTGAGACGGAAGCCCGAGCTGGCTCCACCCTGGAAGTCCTCCCCCTTCAAGCTGTCTGCACCGCATCAGTGTTGTTTCTAAAGCTAATCACATTCAAGCAGTCCAAGTCTGAAAACAAACTAGCTGTTCAGTTCTGTTAAGCAAAGCATCTCTTTTTGGCCCACATTTTTAAATTCTGGCGTTTCACAGTTATGAAATTTGCTCTTCAATCAACGTTTTCTGTCTTTGTGCAAATGAAGTTGTAAGAGCACAAGGTGTGATGTGTAGTTCTATGCTGAAGAAACAGGAGTGGCAGGACAGGAAGCTGGGCCTCTTTATGGTGTGGGCTGAGCCATGTGTTGGTTGGTTCTTTAAGGTCAGTCCTTAGGGGCCAAAGAATCCTTCTGGCACATTCCTTTTAGACCCAAACCATGTTTACTTGTGCGTTGGAAGTATTGAGCCTGCCACCCAACCTTCGGACAACAGCTGAAATGACTGGTTGGTATTTAATGGACCTTTCCTCACATTTTAAAGACAGATTCCAACATTTTACTTCCTTATCTTCTGAATTATCTTCATTCTTGTGGTTATGGGCGTTAGCAGATTTTTATCTCTGACAATAAAAAAGGACTAGAATCACCTCCTTGGTTCCTGTCACACGCCACACTACATATGACCCTGCAGTTCAAAGGGCCTCCTTGGAAACGTCAAAACCAAAGACCAAAAGCAGCAGGAAATAGGAGAGAATCATAATTTGCCAACACGGATGTCTGTCTGGATCAAGCAGAGTTTATACCAACACACAGATAGAGATCACAGAAAAAAAAAGGACCCTCTCTGGTGGCTCAGTGGGTTAAAGCACCGCACTATAAAGTTGTCACAGCCACTGTAGCACGAGTTGGATCCCCGGCCAGGGAGGTGACCCACATGCCGGGCAGACCTCTCCTGACCCGCCCACTGCTCCCCTCAGCAGTGTATTTCAGTAGACCTCTCAGTTCTGCTCCCCACTCTGTCTCTGGTGAATCCTCTCACCCCTACACCTCTGGCCTGTACCCCAGTTCTATATGCGTAAGTAAATAGATCTTTTTTAAAAAATCACAGAAAAAATTTACCTGCAGACTAAAAATGCGTGGTTAGAAGTATTTACACTTTAAATTACTGAAAGCACAACTCCTCCCCGCAAGAAGCTCCACGAGGAGCCCCCTCAGCCTCTCCATTATGGGTGAGGGGACTTCTAAGATGACCTGTTTTCCTGGTTAGCTGCACTGGAGGAGACGTGGATAATCCCCCCCTGGAGAAATCCTGTCAAATGGCCCATTTGTTTAAGGAGCCCTCAGTCCTGCCATCCTCTAAAGTGACCTGACCAGCGAGTTTGTGGTTTGCTGGGTGCAGGACCACGCTGCAAGTGTCACCCTTTTGGAAGAAAATGACGCCAACTTTTTGACCCCCACCCCCAGAAGAAGCCTCCTCACAGAGGAGAGACAACCCCATCCACGGCCACAGGCCTGCACGGCCACTGCCCATGCTCAGACTGGCCTACGTGTGCTCTCAGGGAAAAAACAGGCCACAGCACTAAAGCAAACACTTTAGATCGTTGCTTTATTTCACTCTTAAGTCAACAACAAAGTTCATTCCTCTCGAGATGGATCTTGAATTGTTCCTCGTATTCTTTTCCTCCTTCTGAATAAAAAAGGTAACGAAGGAAAGCCTGCACTTTTGGAGACCTAGAATCTTATTTATGCTAAGAAGCTTTGACGGCAACTCCGAGACGCTTCGAGATTTCCTGCTTGACCTGGTGTTGGCCACGCAGGCCCCACCCTCCCTGGAGACGGCTGTCCACACGGCCTCCAGTAAAACCAAAAAGTAAGTGTTGAAAAATGCACCTTTTACAATAAAAAAGTAGAAACCAATTCAATTCCCTTATTATTATTATTTTTTTTTACGAATATAAAGTTTCTTGTAAATATGTACAGTCTTCTGAGCTAGTTCTATAGCAGGAAGCGTTTCACAAATGAGACAGACACTGCACTGTGGGGGCCCGCGAGCCCCTTCTCACGAAGATCCTAAATGAAGCGCCGAGACTGAAAGACCAGTGTTCAGTGCGACCTTTCCGAATACTTGTGGACCAAGAGACAGAAACCTCGGCAAACATTCAGTCAGGTCTGCCCTGGGGTGGGGGGGGGGAGGTGCAGCAAGACCCCAAAGACTCCAAGCAACACATAAAACACGACAGCGTGACAGCGTGACACTTGCCAGGGGGGGCGACACGTGGGGGCTCAAGGGCGTTTCCAACAAGAAAGCACTTAGGTTGAGAGACGAGCAGGAAGGAGCCGGGACCTGGGCCAGGTGCAGTCTGGAGAGGAGTGACCGGGGACACGGCGGGCTGGCTCACCGGTGCGGTGGAACCAGGTCTACCCTTCAGCCTACCTAGGATTGCCTGCGTGGTTCGAGGCGGGCCTAGAGTCGTGGAGAATTGGAAGCAAGATGTGCCTTGTGGGAGATTAAAGGCAGAAATAAGGCCGCTAGTTAGCTTGCCAACTGCAAAGCCTCTAGGGTAGTTGTTACCAGTTGCCAGGAGTCCCGCTCTGACGCGGGAGAGCTCAGCGGCGGGAGCCGCACTGCACCTAGGGGGCCCCGCCCCCGCAGAGTGGGGAGTTGAGCTGCGGCTTCTTTCTCAAGCCTCCTGGTCTTAGCCTAGCCCTCGGGAAAGGCTCGTTTGGATGTCACAGTTTCGTGGGGTAGAACCGTGCTGGATTTTGTGAACACAGAGTCGTCCGCGGGGGTGGCCGGGAAGCGTGAGTGTGAGGTGGTGGTCTGCTGGAAATCCTTCTCTGGTCGTAAGGCTTGCGCGTTTGGTTTTGTGTGTGTTCAGTGCTACAGACTGCAGCTTGTGTGGCCAGTGAGTCGGCGAGTCGCCAGAGGGGCTCGATTCGGCGGGCGCTGTGGGGTGGTGCTCGCACACTGGCAGCGCAACCCGAGGGGGCGGCCGGGTCGGGGCAGCACATGCAGCGAACCGCCATGCAGAGCTCCAGGGGGCCTCTTCAGTCCCAGCGCGGGGCGCAGCGCCGCGGCGGGCGGGAGGCCCGCCTGGACCCAGAGGCCCCATAATGCTGGGCTCGGAGCAAGTCTGTTGCATGCTTTCCTGGCCAAAGCTACGAGGACAGCAGGGGCAGCAGCCAGGGGGCGACGCTGAGGGGCGGGGAGGGAAAGCGCTCCGGGTCCCTGGGCCCCAAGTCTCTGCCTCCGAGCCGAGGCCCGATGACCTCCGTACATTCTCGCTGGTGGGAGGGGACGTCGTCAGGGCCTTAAAGGCAATGAGAACAGTAAACATTTGGCTAAGATGTCACCCCGGCTGCGGCAGGGCCACCTGTGAGGATGGGCAGGGACGAGGGCGCAGCGACGGCTGCGGCTGGGCGCGTAGCCAAAGGCGGGGACTGTCTGCAACAGCCTCGGTGGCGCAGACCTGGTGGGACGGTCTGGCTAAAACGACACGACAGGAAATACGCTGCTGTTCAAACCTGTTAAGAATTCTGTTGTCTAAAAAAACAAAACAAAACGCAAACCAAAGGAAAGAAAAACAAAACTGAAAGCCCACCAACCCTAGTCTGAGTCGGGGTCACTCCCGTCCAGCCACCGCCGTCCGCGGCTGGCGCCCCCTGGTGGGCAGGACAGGCTAGGGCTAGGTACAAAAGTTTATGACCGCTCGGAAGAGTAACAAAGTGCAGAGCATGACTGCAGGAGGGCACCCACGGCTCCTGGGCACCGTGGCCCCCCGCGCCTCCTGGATGCAGGGGTGTCCGTGCTGAGCTGGGCCTGGGTCCAGCTGTGCCGTGGGTGGCCGAGCAGATGGGCACTGGGGTCCCTTTCAGCAGAGTTCCATCACGTGTCTGGTGTTTTCCCGCAGATTATGATGAGGAGTCGGTGTTCCTGGCTATGATTTATACTGAAGACTGGTCCCAGACCTAGGGGCAAACAAGGAGGGAGGGCTTTAGCTGACAGGAGCCAGAGACTGCTGTGCTACTTGGTGTGGTCCTACAGGAGGTCGTCGGGGCTGGCGCTCCTGGTGGCTCTCCTGAGCTCTCTGCAGGAGGCCTGACTGGCAGGGCCAACCTTCAGAACTCAGGCTCGTCAGCCACTGACACTCCGGGCAGCCCCAGAGCCAAGTGCTTCTGCTGCGCGTATTTATCAGCAGACCAGAGGGATCAGAGAGAAGGTCCGGGTGCCTTCTCCTCCTCACCTGGCAGGGAGGGACTGACCACAACTGGCATCAGAACGCAACCCAGAACATGCACCCAGATCACAGAAAAGTGGCCCTCGGCCCTCCCTGATGGCACAAGGGGTTAAGTCTCAGCTCCATGAAGCTACTGCCAGCCACTGCAGCATGAGTTCGATCCCCGGCCAGGGACTGACCCACATGGCCACAGACCTCCCCTGTCTCCCCGCTGCTCCTCTCAGCAGTGGAGTTCAGTGGATCCACGGGCTCTGCTCCCCACCCCCCCGTCTCTGGTGAATCCTCTCACCACCCCTCCCTGGCCTGTAGCCTGGTTCTTACATGTATAAACCAAATAAATCTTTTAAAACATAGAAGAAGAAGGTGTAAGGTGGCTCTGTTGCTCGAAGCAGCCCCGGCCCTGGCTCACCGGCCGACGCGGCAGCCGGCACTTTTGCTGGTGCCCATGTACAGGCCCCTGCACACATCCCTGCACCTGCTCAGTCAGCAACCTGACATTTCCACAGACGTACACACATGCCGACCTAAATATCAAAGGTTTGCGGTCCTTCTAGAAGGTAGCCACGCTGCGCCATTCCTGTGTAGCCTCCCAGTAAAATTCCCCTTCCCCACCCAGAAAAGTTCTGGGCATATCTAAGTGTGCCTGTATGTGTTTGAGAAGAAGGTGGGCACACAGTGCCTGTGTTCAGGGAGGGAGAAGCCATCCACACATTTGCTTGGATGCCTGATATGCCTCTCAAAAGGAACAATGTTTGGCAGCTACTTAAAAAAAAAAAAAAAAGATTTATTCATTTATTCATATACAGAACTGGGGTACAAGGCCAGAGGTCACCCCTCTGATGAAAGGATTCACCAGAGACAGAGTGGGAACAGAACAGGTGGATTGACTGAAATAGACTGCTGAGGGTAGCAGCGGGCAAGACAGGAGAGGTCTGCTGCGCCATGTGGGTCACACCCTGGCTGGGGATGGAACTGGTGCTGAAACTGCTGCAGCTGGCTTCATGGTGCTGCACTTTAACCCACTGTGGCACCAGGGAGGCCAAGGCAGCTGCTGCATTTTGAGGGGCACACTTTCACACACACATGTTATCACTGGCTTAAGTCGTGTGCTTTCTCCCCAACTTCTGGGTGGCAACTCGCATAAGTAGCCATGGCGTCCCTGACACATGGCGGCCAGCCTTAGCTCCTGGGACCAAGCCTCTGGCCTCAGGATGGTGCCTCACCTTGTTGACCTGGGACAGTGGGGTCCTCACGGCCCCCACGGGCAGCCGGCCCCTGCTGCTGTCTTCAAACAGCCTCCCGGGAGACCGCTCTCTCCGTGTGCTGAGCACCCGGCCAGGGGACTTCTCCCGCTCCAAGGGGCGGCCAGGAGACTTATCTCTGCGCAGCTCGGTCCGCCCCTCCCGGTAGCGGTGGGGTGTGCTTGGCTCTCGCGGGTGGCTGGGGCCTTCGGGTGGCGCTGGGCTGGAGGCCACGCGCTTGGTGATGTGCTCATTGTAGGTTGGCGGGCCTCGCTTGTTGGGGCTGCTGACAAGAGAGGGAGTTGCGGCTGAGAAGTCGCCACCCATGAGGGACATTTCCCTTCTCTGGTCTACCCCCAGACCTCGGTCTCACCCCCAGTTACCAGGAAAAGAGCCGCCCTGCAGTGCGGTGGGCTTCTGGGTTGTTTTATTTTGACAGTGAGGATGGGAGAAAACAACAATGACGAGAAAATCTGGGTGCAGGTTTATCGGAGTAACTGTCAGTCCCTGTGTGCAGTAACACATGGTCAGCATACCAGGTTGACGTGCCAGGAACCAGCATGCCCCTCACTGCAGACAAGCCAACAGACACACAGGCTGTCTGGCCTGTGAAGGAGTCCAAGCAGGCCAGTTGACCTTGTCGGTTGACAAGTAATCCCCACATGTGTTCTATAGACGCAGTACTCTCTAGAGCCTAAAGATGCAGAAGAAAGTCTGCATTTGGGGGTTAGCATGTAAAAGGCCCTCAACGCAAAGGAGCAGTTGTGAGAAGCCTATACTCATCCCCGTCAGTGGTTACATCTGTCCCGTCCTGGGCCTGGGGTTTGGCCACCTGTCCTTCGGTGCCTTTCTAGGAGGCTCTGTGCTACCTGGGGCTGGTGCAGAAGCACAGGGGTCTGACGAGAATGGCCTAGCTGGCTCCAGAAACATGTCTCCCCACCTTGGTTAACAAGGAAACAACTGAGAACGCTGGGGCCTTTGTAGCGTATGGACCTGACAAATCCCAGCCTCCACCCCGTCCTCACCTTCGAACGAAGATGTCAGCAGACACGATCCTACACACCTCTCTGAAGAAGCAAGGCACAGACAGACAGAAGGGCAATGCAGCCTTCCTCGTCAATTCTTTCCCATCCCAACAGGCAGAGAAAGTACTCAGATCCTCATTATCTGAGCGTTTTCATACAGGGAAAAGGCAAGCTACTTAAAACGGGACTAAAATTTCACAGTGACTATAATTTGCAAACATGTTTTCATTGGAGCTTTATCTTGGCAATAAATCAGGAAAACAGAATTATCCAAGATATTTTTCACATGGATTACAACTGCAGCTACATGCCAATTCTTAGAATGAACCAAGAGCGGGTTACATATGTGTCTCGCTCGGCAGAACTGTATGCCACCAGGCTGCATGACATCCCTTCCGTTAATATCAGACTTTCACAGGAAAGCTGCCGTCATTTCCTCCAAAGTATTCTAAGGTGGCAACGGTTTTCCCAAAGACTTAATCCTTGGTATTTAAATCCTTCTTGCAAAAGGCTATTTATCAACGTGTTGACTTTCCCCCCAACTACGGGTCTAACTCTGTCTGAGCGGCTTTTGTCAATGCCTGTAAGCAACTGAGCTGCAAAGACCTCCCGGGGGTCACCCTGGGGAACCCTAACACAAGCAGGGAGCCAAATCCACACGTCCAGACAGATGCCTGTTTTATAAACCAAGAGTGACCGGTGACCACCACGCCTTCTGTGTGGCCCTTAGACAACAACCACAGAGCTGAGTCACTGAGACAGAGACCACATGGCCATTGAAGCTGAAATTTCCCAGCTGGACGTCTCCAGAGAGTTGGCCAACTGCTGCTGCGCAGTGAAACAGAGCGGCCTGCATGAGTGGTCAGTCTGCTGTGAGGAGTTCCCTGTCCTCCTCGTGCCTCCACGCCCAGGGTGGCCACAGAAGCCACAGAGCCAGAGCCCCATGTGGGGGGGCTTCCAGGTGACTCAGCCGTCAGCACCTCGACATCAAAGCTGATACTCCTCTCTAGCCATATGGCTTTGAGATACAGGAGACATATAAAAAATAAATGCCAAGTAGGAGTAATACATTAAGCCAATTTATAATGGAAGAGGAATTATAGAACGGTCACAGGGCCTGTCATAAAGCATTTGAGAGGGTGCGTGCTGCCCGGGGGAAGAAGGACAGCTCAGAGAAGGGCATTTGGGACGTCGGCTTAGAGTGATGGGGTGAAAGAAAATGCCCATCACTCCAGGCTGAGCGGGCAAGCTCCCACTCCACATGCATTAATGACCGATGATCTACCATGTCACTTTTATGGTTTCTGCAGAGTTACACTTCCTGCTTTGCTCTGCGGAGCCGGGCAATGTCGCCCGCTGTGACTCACACTCAGCCAAGCTGAATTCTACATTCTGCCCAAGACTGGCCCGACACATGGACAGAAGGCCTGAGAATGAGGCCTTTCTGGGATCTGAAGTGGCCCTGCATATTCCTGGGGAGCTAGAAGGCCACACATTCAAGATGTAGGCAGTGCACATGCTGGAAAAAACCTGAGCAGGCTCCATTCTCTTTACTCTCAAGGCTGTGCTGTGCCCACCACCCCCGCCCAAAAAACAAAAACAAAAACACACACAGAGGAAAGAACGAATGAGGGAAGACTTGCCTCTCCAATGCATTACAGAAATCTCCGCCCAATCGTGAGCTGACATGAAACTAACCAGTCAGAAACATTAATGGCTGGACGTGCAGGAAGCTAGAATACAGACTCCACAGAATTAGTCCAGGACAGTCAAACAGCACCCAACACACCTAGAGAGCAGGGATCTGGTTCCCAGAGTCGCTAGGTTATGTTTTTGGGTTGGTTTTCAACAAGAAAGTGGTAAGACATGCAAAGAAGGAAGAAGGGATGGCCCATTTTAGGGCCTCAATCTTCCAGGAAGGCTTCTAGCCCCAAGTCCAGGCCAAGGGCCCTCCTAGAAGCTCCCACAGTCCTTGAATGACCCCGATGCAAGCCTCATCCCTCTGGGTGGCACCAGGGAGGGGGTTTTCACCACTCTCCCTCCTGCAGCAAACCCAACTAGCACAGCACAGTATCTGCTAAAGCAACCAATGCATAATTCATGACCCATTCCAAACAGAGCCATTGGAAATACCCAGCAGAGAAGGACCAGACATTTCCTTCCACCTTTTCACAGGGAGGCACATGGAAATTCACTGGGCATGTAGAAAGGACAGTGCCATTTCAGTGCCGTAGATCTCAAAGAGTTGGAAGACTGGGAAACAGCCTCTTTAACAGGAGCTCCTTCTGCTTTGCCCCCTGTAACGAGGAAGAGGAGCGGGTCCGTACCTGCGGGAGGTGGAGGGGCCCCGGTGGTGGTCAGTGCCGGACTCCTTCACGAGGTTTCCTTTGCAGCAGATGACTCTTAACTTATCTTGGTAGGAGGATGCCAGGTAAATCGCACCCGAGGAAATGGCAGGGCCCAGGTAGCGTGGATTCGGAATTTCCAAATATGCTCGGGCAGGGGTCCTGTGGGTTCCAGATGAAGCGGTTATGCGGCGGCTACCTCCGTGGCTAGGACCAGGGAAGAAAGGCACGAGCTGGCCGACACCCCACCCCAGAGATGTGCTTCTCAAAGCACAGAGGGCAATGCTCACCCCAGAGAGGAACGGGCCTGGATCTCGATTACTTCAAGCGAATTGAAGTGGGTCACGAACAGGTAGGGTTCTCTGTAAGCTGTGTGGCCACCATGGAGAGTGTGGGGTGAAGAAGGGTTAAAGGGGAGAAAATCAAAATCTGGCTGCAATGCAACCCCACCTGAAGACTTTAATCGCCACCCCCCCCCACCCCCAGCCTTGTGCCCGCAGAATGAAGTGGGTTCGTTCACCACCAAGCTGTGACAGCAGATGGGAACCAAGGCAACTGTGTGGCCTGGGGATCCGCGCCATACGGAATCCCACCTATGGGATTCTGCAGTTATGAGGCTCTCTGCAGTGACGGGGAAGCTGAGGTGCAATATTTAGAATAATGTGTAAAATGTGCTCTGTCCTGATAAAAGACACAAAGGCAGGAGGGCCAAAAGATACGTATTTTTTGTGCCAAATCTACATTTAGCAGTGTGAGGGTAAGAAACTCATTAAAAGCTTTTTTCTTCCTTAGGGAAACAGGTATGAAATATTTGGGAGAGATGATATGGGTGAGACTTCTCATTATATACTTTTGAAAGCCATTCGATTGTATATATTTTCTATAAAATTAGATTAAGAAAAAGAGTGGGTTCACAGATTATTAAGTGTTTCTGGTCTGAAAGATCTATCTCTCTATCACAGTGTTACAGAAACTCCGGGCTCTGACAGGAGCTGAAAAGGAGAGAGATCATCACAAAGATTCCCTGTGGTAAATTAATACGTGGGTATGAGGCCTATTAGTCACGCCTCGCAGTCCTCACAGCCTCACAGTCTGCTGGCCTGGCGTCTCAGCCCACTGCTCCCACCTCTGCCCTCCAGCCTCTGCCCTCGGAAGCTGCCCGAGTCGGCCTGAGCTCGCTTGGTGGCCGGCGCTGACTGCCCGCCCGCTGCCCCTCCCGGGTGCCCGGTCCCCCACGGAGGCAGAACAGTTCAGTCAGGCCAGAGCCTCGTGGGCAAGGGAAAGTGGTGGTGGTCGTAAGTCTCTGAAATGTGGAGCCTGATCAGTGGCCTCGCATAAAGGAAACAGCCTTTCAGCCACGCTGGCGCACCCGGACACTCACACAGGGCGCCTGGCGCGCTTTGTATGCCTGCGTGAGTTTACAGGCGCGTGCTCACGCTCTTTAGGGGCGTATGGGCGGGCTTCTCCTGGGCAGTGTGCAGAGAGGAGCTGAGCTGCTAGTCACACACGACCTGCTCTGTCCGTTGAGAGCTGGTTATACTGATAGGCCCAGCAGCCGCTGAGATGGCGTCAGGGAGTTCTTGGTGGGTGGGGGAGGGGGCAACACCTTTGCTATAGGGCCTGGCAAATATTTCACGAGGCTGGGACCGTGGGTCAAGCCTCAGAACTTTACCAGGAACATTTATCTGGATGGTTCTGTGTGGCACTGGCGTCCATGGACAGACCAAGACAGTTCTACCTGCAGTTCTTGCCCAGGACACTGGCTGTTGGCGAGACAGAGCCCCCACGTCCCACCTCGCCTCACTCACCGAAGGCCAAAGGTAAGCGGCTCCACTTGAGATCGTCTGTGCGGCTGCGTCTTCCATAGGAATCCACGAACACCCCAAATTCTGCAAGGAGTCAGAGCCCAGAGCAGGGGTGTCAGTGACCCTCACGTGGACAGAGAGCAAGGGAACTGCCAGCCAGACTCAACAGAGTGGTTAGCGCCTAAGGCTGCTGGGCCACAGCCCGGGGCTTACTGACGAACAAGGGCTCAAGCCAACGGAGAGAGACAGAAGGGACCAAGAAGGAAGCTGACGCAGACGCAGGGCGAGGAGGCAGGCGAGGAGGAAGGGGGGAAAGAGACCAAGAGCCCGGCAGGAAGAGAAAGCAAGCCCCAGAGATCTGGAGGTGGGGCTGAAGGGGATCTCAAGAAAAAGAGAAGGGAACGGGAGAACACAGCAGCAGCGAAGACAGCCGCCCGGAGGTCAGAGGCATTGGCACCCTGTTCCCAGTGCCCGCTGGCCCCCCGGCCCCGGCCCAGTGCGGGCACCCGGGGCCCAGGAGCCCTCAAGGCGCTGGGCGCCGCCGGCTTACCGTGGAAGCAGAGCAGATGCTCTTCCCGCTGCCCGGCACCGTTCACCTGCACGATGGAGACAGGGAAGCTGTTGGAAGAGGAGGCGAAGACCGCAGGCGCCAGGGAGTGGTCGTTCTTATCCAGGAATTCTGAAAAGGCACGAGAAGGGGCCTTAGGAAGGGCTCCTGCCGGCGGCTGGCGGGTGCTGGGCCGCTGGCCGGGGCAGGGCAGGGCAGGGCCTACCCTCCAGCGTGTACTGCTTCATGTCGATTTCGTAGAATTTATTGGTTCCAATGAGGATACTGTAGTTGGTGAAGTGGATACAGCTGCAGGGCTCCGAGGTCTCTATCTCCTGAGACAGAGGGCAGAGGACGTGAGTGCTCACCCCACCCCTGCTCTTCTCTTCCCACCGCACATGAGGAAGCAACCGTGGCCGGCGCCGCTCGAAGCACCCTCAACCTGCCCAAGTCCCTCGCTGGGACAGTGATCCCTCTGTGACCGCTGGGTTCTAAAAATCGGGCCCAGTAGCAGGGGAGAAAAAAAGGGGCCAGAAACACCATTTCAACACAAAGGTAGCATTCAGGGAGTGATCTTTAAAATAAGACAGGCTTATCCCAGGAAAAGTCTGGAAAAATGCACCAACTATGAACGGTCATGGTTAGAGGGTTGGCTTTTGTTTCCTTCTAAGGTTCTAATTTGAGTCTTATTATTATCACATCACTACTGTAATCCAATCTTAATGATCTGCTTCTTAATTATTCTTGTTTTCAGGTCAACCCTCCTGTCTTCAAATATCGAGGCCTGTTATTTCAAGTAGCGGTCAGGAACAGGTTTCACCTGAAGCTGACAGGTGAAATTCTTTTTATTGTTGTTGCTTTATAATTTAAAGGACTTTATTTACTAATTTAAAATATATTTATTTGGCATAGAAGAGCTAGGGAGTAGGCCAAAGGTTCAGGGAGTAAGAGGCTTCACCAGAGACAGAGTGGGGAGCAGAGCAGGCAGATCCAATGAAATACACTGCTGAGGGGAGCAGCAGGTGAGACAGGAGAGGTCTGCTGCAAAATGTGGATTACTCCCTGGCCGGGGATGGAACTCAGCCACAGCAGTGACAGATGGAGACTTAACCCCCAGGCTACCAGGGAGGCCTTGACAGCTCAAATTCTAGTAAGTATTATCATCATCACTAAATATTAACTGATTACCCGCTAAGAGTGAGAAACTTTTAGGCCAAGTGGGATCAAGGAATGGCAAGGAATGATCAAACTGGATTTGGTGTCGACTCTGCAACCGCGGCTCTCACTGAACATTGAGGTGATGCCCTGCTTTTCAGAACTGCTGTGCAGCGTTGGTGAAACAGCCAGCTTCGTCTCTGGTCCCAAAAGGGGAAGCATCACCCGAAGCACCACTGGTCTGCCAGGGAAGAAACTGTTGCTCTAGCAGCTAACAGCCCTTACAGGTTTCTCTGTGAGGCTAAAAGGCTCAGGCTGATGCTGGGGTTCGCACTTAGTCCGGGGACAACAGTCAGCCTTGTGTGAGATTGGTCAGGCATAATGATCAAACACACTCCCTGTCCCCACTGCAGTGTCCCCACCACAGTGGGGTCACAGCTTCCCACTCACATACCCAATTGCAGCCAGCACAGGTTCTACAAAGGTTATTAGCAAAAGACTTCCAGATCTGAGAAAGACTCTGGTAAGTACCACCAGGGACTGCTAGCTTCTCAGAGCGATCACCCTCCTTTTTCCATCTGGTTCACAAGAAGAGTCTTCTCAGTCAGCTTCCTTTCTCCCCTAATAAAGGGCTGAATTTACTGGGCGGGGGGCAGGCAGCTCACATATGTGAGGAGGAAAGCAAGCCAGAGGGGAAATCTGCAGAACGAGGGGCCTGGGGCTTCCTCCAAGAAGGGCGGCTGTCTCTCTCTCCCTCTCTGGAGGTCCGAGGGTGAGAGCCCAGGGGACAGGCCGCAGGCTCGCCAGGCCGGCTGGCGGAGAGCGGGTCAGCCGCCGGGACTCACTTTCCGAATGCAGTACTTGCTGAGGTTTTCATTGTAGCGTAGAATGACGACTTTGCTGGGCATGGCTGCACAGATGCAAAGCCCATTCTCAATCTGAAAAGCAAGTGGGGGACAGAAAGAAAAAAAGAGTAATGCCAGTGTCCACACTGGCTCCACGGCAAAACTAGGAGAAGACGTCCACTGCGGAGCAGGGTTCCTCACCCTCGGCTCACGCCCTGGCCCAGACGGAATCTGCCCGTACCCTGAAGAATACTGAGCGCCAGCCCTGCCTTCCACTCACCGCAGGCCAGCAGCTGCCCCTCCCCAGGTGGCAACACCCAAATTTGTCTCCAGACACCATCCAGGCTGTCTAGGGTTGGATGGTGCAGAACAAGCCCAGGCCAGAGCCGCAGCCTTGGGGCGGGGGGACTCAGGGGCTCGGAGGCCCACTCGCGAGGGCACACGTCGGTGTGGATGTGCCTTTTGTGCATCCTTTGGAGACTGGAGACTGACGCCTTTGACAATCTTAGCCCAAGGGAGAGGAAAGGCAGTAGAAACTGCTAGGAATTTAGGGAAGATTTCTTAGCTGAGACCTACATGAGGGTTATGGCATCAAAACTATTTTTCTGGAACAAGTCCCTCTTATTTAACCCCCTGAACGAGATCCTCGCATTTCACCCACATTGCAAAGAAACTCACAGCTCAATCAGCTCCCCCGTGAGGGTCCACAGGTGGGAGGGCAGGTGGGGCAGGCAGGAGGGGTGTGGGAGGGACACAGAAATGGAGACCGTGGGCAGGGTTTCGTTTGTTTACCACACTGGTAGGTGTTACAATTTCAGAACACATGTGCTTATTCCATATATTTTTGAAAATTATAAACAAGGAAATTTATAGCTTTGAAACTAAGTTTTAGAAAGTAAATGCACGTTTCTAAGTAACTCATCAGCAACAGAAGCAATTATAAGGAATTCAGAATAAATGGAATGAAAAACATTCATAAAGAGGCAACTAAAATTGTAGTAAGAAAAATGTACAGTCTTAAAAGACTTGTTCTGGAGAAGACCGGAAGATTGACTAGCTAAATGAGACGTCAGAAAAAGAGTAACAGAGGGAAGTCCTAGAAAACAGAGACGAAAAACAGACAAATGCAAAACAAAGAAGTAATACTGCAGGAGAACAAGGCCCAAAGCTGCTCCTTTGTAAAGACCAGCGGCATCAGAGCATCTCTGACGAAACTGAGTGAGGATGAGAAATGTTAAGTACTCCAAGTGGATGCCACAAAGAACTGAGAGAAACAAGAAGTGCTCTCTTGAAAAAGAAGCAAGCTGGCCCTGACCAGGGTATAAAAGTCACCTCCCTTGGTTCCTGTCTGAAAGCCCCAGTTCCCTTAGGCCACATCCTATCAGCCTCCTCACTCTCATCTCGCAAATCAACACCCTTCCAAGGCCAGCCATTCTCTCATCTGACATTCTGGTGCCTTTTAATTATCTGTCCCCATGAAACCTCCCAACACCCACTGAGTCACTAGGAAAAAGATTTCCCTGCTGGGCTCAGGGCCCCAGAAACCACAGCCCTCGGGGAAGAGCCTTGGGTCGGCCAGCTCTCCTGGCCAGTCCGCCCTTCAGGACAGACCACTCTGAAGGCTCAGTCCAGCACCTGGCTTGTGCCTGGTGAATGTTGACTAAGAGTCTGAATGAGCAAAGGTTTTCAACAGCAGGACTCCAGCAGTGTCTGGGGTCTACAAAGTCTGGATCCAGATTCCATGAAAGCTGCAGGTACCATAAATACTTTTTTATTTTTTAAGACATAGAGAAGCAAAAGTATTTATGTGACAATTTTCAAAATGCTATTAACTTCCAAAGGATTAACTTGAAACCTCATGAATTGACTTGCTGTTATACAAACGTCATAAATCAGGATTTACAAGCTTTTAGTAATCACACATCCTTTCCTTCACCTCAGATGTAGAATTCCATATTGAATTTAAAAATAAAAAGGACTCCATCTCACATACATACATACATCATTTTTTCAAACCATGGATCATCCTTTTATTTTTATTAATGTTATTCTGGTTTTCCTCACATTTCCTGTAGATTCAAAATCTGTATTAAATTTAATGACAGCATGTATTATTTCATAAGCCTAAAGGAATTCATACAATTTAATTAAAAAAAATTAACCCAGTTTGAAAGATAGATAGTTTTGTTTTTCTTTTACAGATTGATTGATTGATTGCAAAGAAGAACTGGGGTATAGGCCAAAGGTTTGGGGAGGCGAGGGGGAGGAGGAGTCATCAGAGACAAGGAGCAGAAATGGCAGATCTACTGAAAGAAGACTGCGGAGAGAAGAGGAGACAGGAGAGGTTTGCTGTGCCGTATGTGAGTCAGCCAGGGAAGGAACACAGCCATCGTGGTGATAGCACTGAGACTTAACCCCTAGGCCACCAGGGAGGACACTGAGGATATACAGTTTTCAAGGTCAATTCAATCAGCCCAGTGGAAGGACCAGCAGTGCACACCTTTCAGAACATTCCAACAGCTGAGGTCCCAGGAGCACTCACCTTGCCAGCAGCAAACAAGTGGCAGCCCTTGACAGCTTCGAAGATGTTGGGTGAGATGTCCGGCTGGGCGGGAAGGTGAGACTGGGCCAGGGACTGCTTCACTTTTTTCACGTCGACAAGACACAGGGCCCGCTCTTCTCCTGAGGAGAAAAAGGAATAGACTCTCTGTCAGTGTGAAGTCCTTAGGCAAAGGACAAAGATGGCAGTTCTACTTCTATTCATAAAATAAACACTGAATGGGCCATGTGGGTGGGCTGGGTTTTCCACAAATTCCTGTAAACACAGTTGAGTGCTGGGTTTTAGATCTAAAATAAAAACATTTGGTCACCTGGTCAAGACTCGGAAAGACTAAAAAAATTCATGGACATAAGGCCAGAGAATCCAATGTGAACTTTATTTTCCAACATGATCCTTATGAAATAAATGAAGAATGTTCAGGGACTACGAGGGAGTCTGTCAGTGCTCTAAAAGCCAAAAGAAAGACGAAAGATCTGCTCCAGCTTGAAGGAGACTGACTGCAGTGCATGATCCTGGCGTGGCTCAAGCATCAAGGGGAAAATCCTCTAAAGCTCATTCCTGGAGCCACCACAGGTACAACCTGAGTTTGAGCGATACATCAGGTAATGGTGTGCAAGTGCTAAATTCCGTGAGCTCAAAAACTGTACCTCAGGAAACAGCTCCGCATGGGATGATAACAGTGGGTACAGGCCATCCCCACTTGTCAGAACCCCTGGAATGGACAGAACCAAGAGGGAGCCCCAGGGTAAACAATGGACTTTGGGGGATGATGATGTGTCATTTTAGGCTCATCAACTACCACAAATGTGCACTTTGCTGGGGGGTGTGAAGAGGGGGAGGCTGTGTGTGGGGGCAGGAGCGATGTGAGAACTCTCTGTACTTTCTGCTCAATTTGCTGTGAACCTACAGCTGCTCTAAAGAATAAAGTCAGGATGGAAGCGCGGAAAGGAGGAAAGCCAGGAAAAGGAAACACAGCGCGTAGAGGGAAGTGCTGACAGGCCCAGAAATGCCAGCCCGGGGTCGTCCAGCCGCTCCTGAGTCAAGACCCAACTGTGGATGTTTCAGACACTGAGCCAGTAAATGAGTGTGTTCCCCTCAGAAGCGGACACAGGGAAGACTCTGGGATCACAGCTGCCACTGGTCCTCCAGTGGCTCAAATAAGTGTGTGTGAAAACGTTAACAAGTGGTGAGTTGGGTCCGAGAGAGGCCACAGAGCATGCAGAGAGCACCCAGGGCCTGTCTGGGGAGATCATGGCTCAGGGCAAAGGGTCCCGCTGACTCCTCTTCTGTGGGCATAATGGGGAGCTGTTCTTTGGGGTGTCAGACTGCACTGCCTACGACACCGAGGAACCAAACCTGAACAGAGAGCCCGCAGGGGTGCGGATGAAGGAACCCACCAGCAGGAGGCAGGTGCCACCAGGTCCCGTGAGCGTGGCATTTGGCTTTCAAACTGTTGCCCTCACAAGGGATAAAAGTGCCGGGTCCTCAGACTCCCACCTGCTATCATGAGTAGCTTCTCCAGGTCCTTGATGATATAGATTTGGAAGACGGCGCCAATGCCTGGGATGTGGGTGAGCGAGTTTTTCAAGACATTCAGCGCATAGAGCCCTTCCTCGGTGCCCACCAACACCACCTGCACAGCAGACACCGAGGGCAGAACGTGAGCAAGATCCCATCCGGCAACAGCCCCGGCGCAAGACGAATGGCGCGTGGGCACAGCCCGCCCCACTGGCAGACCGCACACGCCGCCGCACCTGGTCGCTGAAGGGCAGTGTGCAGTTCATGTCCAGTCGGTCATCGCCTTCCAGTTTCAGCAGGGAGTTTCCAAGCAGTTTCTTTGCATATGGAAAGAAGGAAAAAAGAAAAGAAAAGAAAAAGACATGGTGAGATGGAACTGTTTGCATCTGACCCTCCAGACAGGCAAAAGCAAGAAGGAAGAGAAGCCTGCTGCTCGGGAGACAGGCGAGTTACTCCTGAAAACGCCCACAAACACACACGGGCACCAGCTCTCCCCGATTTTGATCTGAGCTCGCAAGGTAAGAAGATGTGAAAGGCTTTGGTTTGGTAGGATGGTCGTTAGTTAGCATCGGGGCTACAACTCGGCCTGGACAGACACGAGTGCGGCAGACGTAGAGGGCTCTGCGAGAAAATAAGCTGCGCCTGAGGACTTTGCCTGTGAGGCGTTAATAAGCCACAAGGAAGACTCCTGCCCTCCAGACCACTGCAGACGTGCAAAGCACAGTGTCAGCAGCAAACCAGCAAGCTTGGGCATCTTTACCTGGACCCACGCAGGCAGGAGCTCGTAGGACACGCAGCCAGGGGCCTATTATACACACAGTGATGTGTTTTCAGTAAAAGGCTCAGGCGTGTGATGACAGGTCAGCACAGGTCTGCCCAGAAGCAAAGTTCCCATGGGCGGCACTGGGGGTAGGGGCTGGGGGGAGGAAGCTCATGGCTAATTCTCCAGTGGCTACACTGCCATGTTTATGAAGAGCTGGTATATGAGAAGTCTGGTCGTTGGTGGGGAAAACAGCGAGTGGTGAGCACTGTTTGTATCCTGGAACGTTCTAGTAGGAGTGTCTAGTAGGAGTGATGCCAATCACGGCACACCTACGTTTCTAACATCTTGAGAGGATTTCAGGCCTGCCTACAGAAGAGCAGGTGCGGCGGTGACTGAGAAGGCTGGGAGCAGCCTGCCTGAGGTGGGCATGGGGCTGGCGCCTTCTGTCCAGGTGGCCCAAGCCTCCTGACGAGACCACCGCATCAGGGTTCACGAGAGACAAGACTGCCTCACATGTTCTCGTGTGGCTGCTGTCACGGGAAGACCTATCCTGCCCAGAGCTGACATGCAGTGTCCATCCCCCTCTGACTGGCCCCCGAGGGGGGTCTGTCACCACGAAACTCCTGGTTGGGACAGGCTCTAGCCATCGCCCCCAGGGAGAGGGCCCTGGGGAGTCTCAGTGCCCGGTGGGCTTCCTATAGCTAAGACGGGCTCCCGAGTCAGCCCCCTTTACAGAGACAGGTGCCAACACCCGTTTTCATACTCACAGCGTCGGCTTCTGCTTTTTCCCTAGAAACTCTCCCACCTGCGACAACTGATTCTAAGGCGGTGACCCAGCGCTGTTTGTCGGGGAAGCTGGGGGCTAGCAAGTAGAGGCTTCTCCCAGGCCAGCAGGTGGTGTGTGGGTGGGATTCCATCTTCAGTACGTATGGGACATCTAGGAGATTCGACAGAGCACAGTGTTGGGTGTGGGCTTCCCTCATGATGCTGGGGGTGAGCGCCCCAAGGTACTAAAGCCCCAGCTATTCAGGCACAGACAGGGGAGCTGAACAGGCCCCCCTTCCTGCGTTAGCAAGCCCAGCCCCCCTCCAGGGTGGGGTGTTCCTGCTACCCCTCACCTGCTTTGGCTGTGTTTGCGAGTTCAGAAGCACCAACGGCGCCATGAATAGATACGTCCCCGTCGGGAAGGCACAGCTCAAATTCTTCCACCGGCCTCTGTCCAGCTTGGTGCAAAGAGGAAGGGCAGAAAGAAAAACAAAAGAACAGGAACGAGAACAAAGGGAGAAGAGGAAAAGAGAGAGACAGAGAGACAGGGTATGCGTGGAAAGAGGCGCACGAGAACAGAGGAGGAGGGAAGGTGTCCAGAGAAGGAGGAGAGGGAAGATAAAAAAAAAATAAAGTGTGTCAGATGAGTAGCACAGTCAAATTTCTGATGACGATGCGGATTTATGGGGTAGTTGACTGAGGCAGAAGTTCTCTGAAGGTGTATTAGCAGGTAGAGTCTTCAGGGCAGCGCCCTGCGGGTTCCTCAGAGGGGGACCTATAGACGTGAGTATCGTACCAATAGCCTTCAGCAAGTCATTTGGGTCTCGGTTTCCGTAAATGGGAAATCGCGGAAGGCTGGCCCCAAAGCAGCCTTCGCGCCAAGCCGGGCGGCCTGGGCCACCCACATGCAGCACGCTCCCCTGCACTGCTAATTTACCTTCTCTGGCTTCGTTGTCGTAGATAAGGACTTTGGACCCCTCCAGGACGATGTACTTCCTGTCCCAGCCTTGCTGTCCTCGTTTGTTATTTCTGGGAAAACAGAGATGCAAAGGAGAGGGGTCTGAACTCAAGTGTCAGATGGAGGGGGGGGACGGAGTGCTCCCGGGAAGACAGCGGCCTAGCAGACCTCAGGGGATGGCTGTGGCGGGGAGGGTTGACCTGCTCTACCCTGCAGGCTCTGGGCTGTTCTTGGAATCTGACAGACAGAAGACAGCGCAACAGGAGACGTGCAGGTTTGTGCTGTGTGGACGGGGCGTCTCGACCAGACAGTAAGGACCCAGAGGCGGCGGCCCACGGGCTCGTACATGCAACCGAACAAAAAGAAGCGCTGTGGCACTGTGACTAAAAGTGCAGGGAGGCTAAGAAAGAGCCTCCTCTGACAAGACCTCCGACCAGGTCTCCTTGCCTAGACATCTCTGGGCTGCCTGGCCCACCATGTCTCTGGGGGCACAAATGTTTTCTTCCCTTTTGGTCTCAGAAGTGCAGCTTTTACATGGGAGTTTTAGCTTCTACTTTCATGAAGGCAAAAGGTAGGTCAGAGTGTCCTTGCACCTGCTGTTTCTCAAGTGACTGTGGCATCAAGTAAGCCCTGTGCCCAGGTGACGCATGTGGGGGTGGGCTCTCGGCTGCCCTTCACCCGCACCTACACGGCCCAAGGCACTCTGCATCCATACCTGGGCACCTTCATCCAGCCTTCCAGATGCAAGCTGCTGCTGGGTTCCTTGCTCTGGAGACCTGGGGAGTTCATTTTGTCACGGCAGAAGGCCTCAGTGAAATGTGTGGCGTATTCAGCGGGCAGGCCACAGGTCGCCGGCAAGCACGTGGAACACTTGGGATGACACATCACCTGACACTCTAGGAGAAGCAGTGAACACCCTGAGAACACACTTGGCGGATCTGGAACCACCGGTGCCCTTCCCACCAGCTAGCCCCCTGCCGGGTCCTGTCATCCGGGTGATCCCCACCGTTTCCTGGGAGAGAGGAGACTGACAGACAGTGGCTGGAAAATAGCAAAGCCAGAGGCGCTTTGCCTAGGCAGTTGGAGACACGAGCTGAACACATGCAGAAACTCACTCCTTTCACAGGGGAAATACAGTATCCTCCCACTGAAACTAAAAGCCTGAAAATGAAGGCACTCTATGGTGAGGAATTTAGAAAAGAAAAAAAAAAAAAACACCTGCCTCCATCGCACAGATTTCTCTTAGGTGGAGACCCACGGCTTCTTACCGAGACACTTGGAGGCTTGGCGTCCGAAGTGCACGGTGTCCAGGCACACGGCACACTTCGTGGCTCGCATGTTCAGTCCCACGTTAAATCGGTGAGGAATATTATGGTGCATGCGCTCCTTGAGACGCCGACTGAATTCTGGAGAAATATTTGAAGAATCCTGAGAGGGCTGCCAACGAGCCCATCAAGCACGTGCCAAGACAGCCCCCAGGAAGGGGAACAAACACTGGCAAATCAGCTCTCCGACTGGGGACTTGGCAGTTAGCACACACTAAGGGCTGTGACAACAAATAATAAAAAGAAATCTGACAAGTCCAAGCCCAAGAACAGATGCTCTGGCCTTTCACACCCTCTAGGATGTCTAGGATCGAAAATGCGGGGAAGATGAGATGGTGAAGAAACTGGAAGCTGAACTGTCACAGGTACTTGGTGGGAATGTGAAACAGTGCAGTTACTCGAGAGTCCAGTGATCTGGGTCACCGCATGGCCCCGCACGTCCCCCCTAGGCACAATGCCCGCACAGGGAGGGGACACTCATGTGGGGAGTTGGTGGTGACAAGGAACTGGAAATAACCTAAATGCCCATCAACAGGGTCTGGTTTAACAGGTGAACAACCCCCACCATGGATCCCACGCAGCCCTTTAAAAGGATGAAATAAATTTTTATGTGACAGTAAGAAACACTAAGATACCATTTTTAACTAAGAGAGGAAAGGTGCTTTTGCAGTGTCTGTCAGTGCACGATGATGTTAATAAAAAAGAGCTGAAAGGATATGTTTGTTTGTTCATACGCTTTAAAATACAATTATAGGAGCCTCCCTGGTGGCCCAGAGGTTAAAGCACAGCACCGCGGAGCTCTCTACAGCCCCTGCAACGCCAGTTCAATCCCCGGCCAGGGAGCTGACCCACATGGCGCAGCAGACCACGCCTGTCCTGCCCACTGCTCCCCTCGGCAGTGTGTTTGAGTACAACAGCCTGTTCTGCTCCCCACTCTGTCTCTGGTGAAGCCTCTCACCACCACCCCCCCAAGACTCTGACCTGTATACCCCAGTTCTTGTATGCATAAGTAAATATTGAAAAAAAAAAGAAGAAGAAAAAAAAGATAATTATGTAAGATACATGAATCATATGGACCTGCAGTTACTTGCATGAATTATCACTAGAAAAGTACAGTAGTTGACCCTGGGTAAGCAAACTGGGGATGGGGAGGAAGAAGACTTACCTGTCCTCTTTCCTAGTAGAATCAGTAACGTGGACCCACATAATTATAGGATGGACCCGTGGGAAAGGGCACAAGGGGCCCAGCTTAGTATTAGTATTATTAACAGCTGTTTCTACCATATGGCTTCGTTTCTTAGTTAATTAGTATCGCCCACACGACTCCAGGGCCCCTGAGAACGCACCCTCTGGTGTTGCAGACTCCTTTCTGCGGCTGGATGGGGGGGCAAGCAGGCTCATGGCACTGGGCTGGTGCTCAGGCGAGCGCACGATGGCGGACATGGCGATCTGCTGCCTGGCGGTGGCTGGCGTAGAGGGGTGTGGGTGGTCTGTGGCTTTCCGATGAGCAGCTGGAGAGAGAGAGCGGGCCACGGCCTTTCTTAGTGCAACAACAGGACCAGACCAAGTGGACCGCCCCCGGGGTGTCTTTCAAGGGCCCGAGACCAAACGGATAGAATCGTGCTTGATCGGCACACCGAGGGTGCGGTGAATTTTCCAGAATTGGGCTGTCTGGACTGAATGTGTGTAGGCCATAAACAATGACTAGTCTCCACCAATCTCCCGGAGCCGGGCCCTCTGCCTTTCCCACAGCTCTCTGCACACACAGCGCCCTACCTTCCTCCCGGGCAGACCGGAGCTCGATGCGGGTCTTCTGCAGGGCTTCCTCCAGCTCTGCACAGCGAGCTTTCTCCTTCTCCAAGGCCACCTTCAGCTCATTGTACTGCAGAGGAACCTGTGTGGGCAAAGCAGGGTCCTCTTTCCGTCGACTAAATAAACCCTAGCAATGGAAACAGAGATATCTCCTAACTCCTGGAAACTGGCACTTGGAACTAGCTAAAGGAACTCTGCCTTGGGAGGAGCAAACCACGAAAGCCAGGAGCATACTCACTGTAAGCGGATTTAGTGAAAATGGCATGTGAAGGGGGAAAGGGGTGACTGAGCCTCAGCCCATTCCAGTCAGCTGGAAAAAAAATAGGGGTGCAAAAGCGTTCACCAAGAGGGTTAAAGATGCTGATTTGCCACCACCTCTTCCTTCAGCATTCCCAAGAAGGAGAGTCATTTCCTGAGTCTTTGCCCTCAAAAAATGGAAGTGGAGGATGGAGTCAGGAGAGACGGTTCAGAAATCACTCTTGCCTTGAATTTGTCTCAGGATGCTTAGTTACAAGACACAGAGATGGGTGTTTTACTTTGTTTTGTTTTTTAAAAAGGAAGCCAAATAAATCCAATACAAAAATGATGTCAAGACAAAGGGCTGACTCAAAAAAAGCAAATGAAAACACGTTTTGTGCATGGAAGAGAAAAGCCCAACATAGAATAATGTGGCTGAAAAGAATGCAACAACAGAAAAATAAATGGAAACACCCTAACTACATCAATTACATAATTAAGTAACAGTCCGCTGCTAAAATAAAAAAAAAAAAAAGATTAAATATCAGAAGCAGGACAAGCACAGTCACACAGCACACAAGGCCCTTCCCCTGCAGCCACTGCACAGCCGAGGCTGTTCCTGGGTGCTGCTCTAAGTTCCTCACAGCAAGGGTGGCAGGAATAGCAAGGTCGCCTGGCCACTCCAGCCCAAGTCACCCGAGCCAGGCCTGCAACCGCTGCCACAGCTCGCTGTGCACCAGTGTCTCCGGACGGACGCTGAGAGCTCCTTGGGGACGTTTGTGGACTGAGAACACTTGGCCAGGCCCAGTAGGAGGCCGTCGGTGGTTTCCGAAAGCACGTGTGGGACTTAATAAAACTCTCCCCATGCCCACCTACACAGAGCCCTGTCCATAGCTTTAGCGCAGTTTGCTTTTTCTGACCTTTCATCTGATGCCACCCTAGCGGGGACAGCAGTACTGGTAGAGGGCACAGCTCTCTAGTCTGGCATGTTAGGTAGGTCACTTCAGCTCTCAGGGCCCTCGTCTCTTTGTGAGCTAATGAAGAGAGCTGGACCAGAGATGATTTCTAGTCCTTTCTGTAGTCCCATACGTGTGACCTTAAGAATTCTCCCAAAGCCCCACACAGATGGCTGTTAATCCCTCTGGAGTGCCACACATTTGACCTGAGACCCCCCCTCTCTCTTTCTCAAGTCCTATACAGTGGGACCTCATAATCTCTCAGGAGTTCCACAGGTATGGCTTGTCATCTCTCTGGTCCTGCAATTCCACTACATTCCTGCTAGCCCTTCTAGAGGCCCTTGTCTCTATACACTGCTTTTACCCCGGCTGTCAGAACAAAAACAAAACAACCACTCACTAAACAGAGACAGGCATTACAGTTTTGAAGGTCATGGACATAGCTTCAGACTTGATAATGACATCCTCTCTTTAAGAGACAGTTTCATGATCTCAAAACCTATCTTTCAACCCAAAGACAACAGGAAAATGTATGTTTTTGTTTCCTTCAACACCCCTATGATTCTCTATCACTGTGGTATTCACTGAATCATAATGATCAAGCAAAAACTGTTCACCCCCCATTTTTCAGACTCTCTGACCCACCTTTTTCTTTTTAGCAGGTTGGTCCATTTTGGCTTGCAGAAAGTCAATGAGTTTGGTTTGTTGAGAAATAGTGCCTTCCATTTTCACCTTTTCATGAGAATAGAGAACCTAAAATTCATGAAGACAAAAATAATCTCAGACTCAGAAAGAGAAGCAATTTCTTAAATTACTTTATCAAGAAAGTAAAAAGGCCATTGGGAATACCAGTACCTGAAAAATTCAACACCAACCACACTGAGCCAGTATTTATGTACTTCATCCTAACCTTTATATAACTACCGCCCCCCCAAAAAAGATCAACCACTGGGCAGACAGATATGTGGAAAAAGTAAAAATCATACATGGCTAATCGTAGACTCTAGAGGTTGAGCACTATAGAAATTTTCAACTTCTCTGAATGCTTGAAAATTTTCATAGTAAAATATTGGGGGAAATAAACACAATTGACCATGATGCCAGGTGGCCTTTATCATCGTGCTGGGTCTCTGCAGACAAGGATTAAGCCAATTCCCTGTGGCAGTCCTCACCTGAATGTTTTCTAGTTGGTATTCCAAATCACTCCTCTCTGTCTTCAGCAGATCAGCCCGATCTAGAGCTTCTTGCAGCCCTTGAGTCAGACGGAAAATATGGTTCTTCTGTAGGTCCATCTGCTGCTGCAGTTTGGCTTGCTGGTGGGCAGAAAGGCCAGACAGGGGCTCAGTACCCCGCGCCACACAACTGTTTTGCTCCTATCACTAAATTAATTCCAGGCATGGCACCAAAAGCTCAGCTTTCCAATTCATCTCATTCCAGAATTACCAACTGTCTCTTATCCAAAATGAGGCATGCAGTTAGAGGATTTTCACAGAAATCCCTTATGGCCTGCAAGCCCAGGGTGCCCCCATGTGGGAAGGCTGGGCTGGTGGGTTTGCACCCCTGTTCAGAGGGCCCATTAAGGTCATTTTGGGGCCTGACAGTCTGAGCTGCCTGAGCGAGGCTTCCTGCCATGACAACCTAGAGACAATTTGCCCTGGTTTTTTTTTTTGTTTTTGAGATTTCAACTGCTACAGTAGTAAATCACTTTTCAGTGTGCCATGCACGAAGGGGAATCATACTAGAACTGTCAAGAGTCCCTCAACAGGGAGGGGGAGGGACCCCAACAGCTACCATCAAAGATGATATTTCTACAGGGTGAGGAGAAAGGAAAATTCTAGATTCAGCACAAGCATTGCTAAAACCCAGGAGAAAAAATTCAATTTAGTATACTGGAAGCAGTTTTGTGCTACAAATCTGACCAATTTTTACAATGGAAGTCACCCAGAAGACAGGGCAGGCTGGAAACGCACCGCTCCGGGCTGGCTCTCTTCAAAGTCACTTCTGGCTCTAAAAGCAGGAGAGAGCAGCTACCCTAACACATCGCTGCTTGAGCTCACTCAGCTCCCAGGCGAGCCTATCTTCATTCTGGCCCAAACACGCTCTCCTGGGGGCCTAGGCCTCTGCAGACTCAGGGACAGAGAGCCTCTGAGGAGCACTAAATGCCACCACCGAGGTTTCACAGGCCGCAGTAGACTCAGCCGCTGGTTGGGGGCTCACTGATCCTCTCTGCCCTCTTCGGCCCCCTCTCCTGTGTTTAGCAGCCTTTCCACATTTTTCCCTCGCCTGCCTTTCCTCTTGACAGGGAGTGGAGTCCATGAGGCAACACCAGGGGGTAGAAACAAACCTGGGCCTGGAATTTTCCAGACCCTGCTTTCCATGCGACTTTGCCACGTGTCAGGCATGTGGTGTGGGCCAGCAACTCTGCTGACTCCAGGAGCCTCAGTTTCTTCGCCTGAATGTGAGCGTGACACCTTCCCTTGGGGGGAGGTGCTAAGCATAGGGCCGAGCCGACGGCGGTGCCAGGTGAATTGTAGTGCTGCTTCCTGTGTCCTTTTGTCCCCCTCTGTCCAGTTCACTGGTCACCTATCAGCCTTACCATAAAGGGAGAGGTACTTCCAGAAAGCACCTCTTCCATAAAGCCAGAGACACTGACTAACCAATGCCACCTGGTCTGTGCGCCAACCTGGAATTTCTGAATCAAACCACAACCCCCCCGAAATACAAAGAGGAAAAACAGCTAAGATAACCTCTTAGGGGATGTCACCAAGCTCGAACAGCACAAGTGATTTCCTCTGTAAATTACCCTCTTGCGTTCTTCCCACTATTTTAGGACAACATTAATTACTAGGCAGGAAGCAGAGAAATAAGTGCTGGGGACAGTGAACTGTTTGATGACAGCCAGGCCCAAAATATTTCCCTAGAATAAACACATCGACTGCCCATTAGCTTTCCAAGAAAGAGGCTGCTTATTTACTATAATAAAAAACCAGAGTGACATTTGTGCTCAATGGAGGGTTATTCAAGACCATTTACCTGCTTCCCAGAGAGAAGCAAGTGGAGGCTGTTCCCAGGGCCAAGCTAAAGGGCAGCCTTGAGCTGCGTGCTGAGAGCTGCCCGGTGATTTCACAAGGGGGGCTGTGGGTGGCGAGAAAGTATGAAGGAAACGGATGGCAGAACCAGCTGTGAAATGGGCCTGGCAGGTGGGAGGACGGGTCAAAACCAGCCAGAGAATGTTCGAAAGGATGACATCTTTTGAAATTTCCAGAGAACAAATAACATAAAGATGTTTAAGAAAAAACAAGTGGGAGGCTTGTGGTGAGCTACCAGGTCAATGGTATCAGCAGTGTGAGGAAGCCCAGAGAGTCCCGGTCCCCGTCAGAGTTTTTCGGGGTGCAGCACAGAGATGGAGGAGCCCCACCGTACTGCAAGCTGTTAAGACCACACAGACTTCTTTAAACTCTTTGGAAAGATCAATCTACCCAAAAGAACACCCACACTTAGGGACTTGCAATGCTTCATTTAGAAAGAGAAAAAGCGATCTAGAACAGGAAAACTAGTTAGACACCAATCGACTGTCATGGAGATAATGAACGTAGTTGTTTCACAGCGCTGTCACAGGGACAGTGTGAATTAATTCCTGTGAAGGACTCAGAAAGACCCCTGCTAAATAAGTGTGTATTATTTTGATTGGTCCTCAAGCTACTTGATGCTTAATCAATATTAATCTCCCATTTGGGTTGGAAATACAGGTGGCTCTATTTTTCAGTGTTAAACCGAGCAGGCCCAGTAGGTGGAAGTTAAAAGTCTTTAGTTCAAAATACAAAGACTTCCTAGCAATCAGAGCTGCTGGAACATGAGCCAGATGTCAAACTCATGGTGGTTATTTAGGCTGAGGCTCACTGAGACCCAGCTTTGAGGAGCGCTGGGGAGGGATACCTGACCTTGGTCAGTACGCTAATTGGACAGGATTCGCAAATGGACTTTCACTCTGTTTTATAGCCAATGGAACAGCAGTGGCTGTAACATGCCTTCTGAGTTCATGTTAGACTCAGAAGGAAAGAGCTGGGAGAAAGACTCACCAGTAAAAGCTGCCAGGGACAGGGGTGAAAGGAAGAGAGGGCTGGGCTGGGAATTTAGATGACACCAAAAAAGTCTTTCCGACTTTGAGCCTGACTCCAGTCCCACCATACAGGTGTCTAGACAAAGGTGGTGTACCTGGTCACAGGCCTCTAAAGCCCTCTGGAGAGCACAGCACAAGGAAGACCCAGCTGCACTGCACGTGACAAAGGTTGTTTTGTATTATAAAGGCTTCAGCTGTCAGCAAACTGCCTCCAATCCGGTGTCAGCCAGATGCCTGTGCTCAAAAATCTGTGCGTTAGGGACTGGGAAGATGGAAATGTCCCATGTGGTTCAGCAGTGAGAATGAGGGGCCTGAATCAGGCTCCCAGCTTTCTATTCCTAGTGCTGTCACTGACTCACCAAGTAACCTTGGACCAAAGAAACGAGCTGTCAGGGCCAATTCCCCTTCCACAGGAGGGAAACAGGACAGGCGAGATCATTGATTATTTTTGTTCTGCCTGTTTCCAACTTGGGCCTACTGTGAGGAAATTGCATATTCACTGCAGAGAACAGGCTGTAGTTCTCTATGCAACCACCAGGCAGATTTTGGACTTCATTAGTACTCTTAGAGCTGCCTTTGGTACAGTTTCCATTTGTGCGTGTGCACACAAACACATAAAAATGAACTTTATTTAAAAAATGTTTCTTGGAAAAAAAATGTATATTGGGATAAAACTCCCCATATCCACCTTTATCCACAACATACACCTATATAGATGTAACAAAATTGACCACCTTAGCCACTTTTAAGCATTAAGTACATTCACACTCTTCTCCAACCATCACCACCATTCTCTTCTGAATTTTCCCATGCATAGTTTCTAAAGTCCCAGTTTACAAAACATGTCCGACTCACCCGCAAATGTTCACCACGTTGCTCAAACTTAAATGCAGTGTTACATCCATCTGCAGAGCCCCTCCGCGGCTAAGGTACAATACCACGGAACCCCAATTAACCAGAACAGCTAACCTGGTTACTTGAACTAGGGGTTCAGGCTCACTATGGGTTAAACAGAACACTCTACTGGAATGGAAATTCTCCTTAAATATCTTTGCAAAATGCGTTTGTCCTGAAAGGTCATTGCTTTTTATTTATTTTTAAAGACTTATTTATTTATACATACAGAACGAGGATACAGGCCAGAGGTGTTGGGGGGTGAGAGGATTCATCAGAGACAGAGTGGGGAGCAGAACAGTGAGACTGACAAAGTACACAGCAGGCGGGTCAGGAGAGGTCTGCCATACCATGAGGATCACCCCACTCCCGGCCAGGGATCGAACCTGTGCTGCAGTGGCTACAATAGCTTCATAGTGCTGAGCTTTAACCCACTGCGCCACCAGGGAGGGCCCTGTGCTAGAAGGTCAGTTCTAATGAGCATCATCTTTAGCCATTCAACATATGGGCTTTTGTTTGGAAGTGGGTTTCAGTCATCAATTTTAGTAAGTGATTTTGGGAATTCTGCTAGCAAGTCCAGGAAATAACGGAGAGCTGCGTCCAGGAGATCACTGTGAGCTTTTCATATTATGTCTCAAAAGATGAGCATAATTTTTTTAATCAAATTAACTAAATGTTCAAAAATCTTCATGAAATTTGGCAGTCATCCTAATCTGATCAAGTCTTTGCCCTGTGTGCAAAGCTAATTTGCATGGATGTTCTGCCTGTAGACTTGATATCCATCAGGTATGAACTCCAAAGAACGATTTAACTCAATATCCACTCACCTGTATGTTTAATAAACCTACATTTGGCACCTGTTCACCACGTCCCAAGCCCACTAGGCTCGGCGGAGAGGATGCAGAGGATGGAGACCCACCAGCTTCACAACACATTCATTTTGCTAAATGCCTTCAAGAACACATTTTGACCACCTTCCCCTGCCTCGAACATTCTGAACCTCTCATTTGGATCTGGGAACTGAACACAACAGATCCTCACTCTCACCTTCAAAGTGCCCCGGCCTGCATGCCAGGTGCCCAACACTCACCTCCTCCAGGAGCCTTTGCTTGAGCTCTCGTTCCGTCTCCAGTTTCTGTTGTAAACTGCGGGCATTCATTTCAAGCATGGCGTGTTTCTTCTCCAGGTCATTGAGCTGGACATTGGGGGAAAGTGGCCATGACACCGCATTTAGGACAGTTAGAAGTGAATGGCCATTGCGAATAGCCACAAGGTCAGGGCATACACATTCTTTTTAAAGGTCTACCACAGACGTGCGTGTCACTAGGTCGGGCCGGGGTCTTCTGTGACGTAGGTGTGGGTTATGTGCAATCCACAGCTGCGAGAGGTTCTAAGACAATGACTGTTCAAGAATTGATTCCTTTGCTGTGCTTTGGCTGCATTTGAGTGAGTATGTGCTGAACACTTACTAGTGACAGAGCTCTAGGGCTCTGGGGTAAAAGGGTGGTCAGATGCTTTCAAGGACCTTACCTCCAGTCTCAAAGGCAGAGTGTGGCCCTTACTAGACATGTACAAGAGAATGGCTGTTCTGTCAGATGACAGTTTGGCAGGACGTCAGGAGAAAGAGAGGCGTCCTGTGTTACCAGCCATCAAGATAAGGCGGTGTCAGATTGCCTGCGCTCTCAAAGGCAGGGAAGGACTTTGCTACACAACCCTTTAACAGCCACACAGAAAAAAATGCTTTGAGTTAGATGCAAAAGGGACCATCCATCTCTAAATAACATATTTACTTTCCTCTTGGTTAAAAAACATTATAAGCCAGTCCCCAGGAATTCTGGCATGTTCCTAATTCTTGAGCCTTGCATCCAATCACTTTGTTTCCATGAAATTCTGGTGAGAAAGTAATCATGGAGGACCTTAAAGATTTATGCAGATTACAGTGCTATGTCTACTAGGAAGAAAAAAAAAAAAAAAAAAAAACCAGGAAGCTCAAGTTTCCAGCACAGGTGGAATGATTAAAATAGGTACTACGGTGTGGATGTTTTTAGAACGACATATTCGAAAAATACTCAAGAGCCCAGGAAAAGCCCTAGTTATTGGATATTTTCAAAACAAGACGTAGAGTTGTTTACAGAGTAAGAACCTAAGTTTATAAACATGTACGTGGGTGTGTGTACACTGAAATACGGCATGAACTCACCCAAGAAACTGGTGACGGGTCATCAGTGTCATGTTTCCTTTTGCTTTTCTGTGGTTTCTTTATCTCCCACAGCTATCCCAAATAACCACTTTTGTAACTGTGAAATAGCAGTCATACAACATTCAGACGACTTAATGCGTGTATGTGTGAGTTTGTGTGTGGACGCAGCATTCTGGTCTTCACCTCTTTCTGTCTAAATCAACAGCTATGCTGAATCCTTTCACGACTACGAGAGAAAATCCCTGGTCTGTGTGCACACAGTTTTGCAGACGCCATTTAGTGCCATGTGGACGCGATTTGCGAGTTTCCGAGGTGAATATGAAGCCCTGGTGGTGTCCCTGGTCTCAGAACACACAAAGGCTGGGCCGCCTGTTACTGCGGCACACCGCAGCCATTAGTCCCCCTGCCAGGCTCTTCCCAAGCATGCGTGACATAAAATCCATAAAGCCTTATAGAAATCAAGTGCAAGAAAACAGGAGTCATGTGCCCGGATCAAAATTCAGGCCTCGAGGGACCAGACAGCGGAGGGTAAGGAGCCATGGACCAACAGTGGGCCTCAGTGCGCATCACCTGGCGCTGCTAGCCAAGCTGTTCACGTGAAACGCAAGCACTGACCTGAGTGAACTTTGCTCATGGACCACCAGAACCCCAGGCTATACTTGAATTTGTGACATGTCTGCCTTCTAACAGAAAGAAAAGAAAATTGTCATACACGGCAGGAAAGGTGGGTGCTGACCTTGTCGGAGAGGCTCTCGGCTTTCAGCTTCTGTTCTTTAAGAGCTTGCTGCAGGGCGAGAATCTCGGCCTTGTGCTCCTTCACCGCCAGCTCCACCACCTGGCGTGACTCAGTGATTCGCTGATCAGCTCTGGCCCTGAGGGAATATCACAGGCCCCCCATTTCAGAACCCATCACTGCCCATCTGGAGAAAGGAAGCGGCCCATCTCATCATAGCAAGCAACCACACAGGCTGCGGGCTGGAGAGATGCCCAACTCTGAGTCCTAGTTCCAAGTTATGCCTTGCTTTCTGACAGCTCACAGAACAAAGATCTGACCCACTTTGGGCCTTGGGTAAAAATACTCTTAGGAAGGTAAAGTACCTGTGAGTCTGTAAATAAGTTTAGAGAACAGGAGAACTAGAACAAACTGGGAAAAAATAACTTCCCTTCGCCCACTGAGGTATTATGTCTTGTGACTGCCACACTTTGATGGGACAATTCCCTCCACCAACAACTCTCTCCTTCGTACCCTACAAACTCAGCTCTTCCTCACCCTTCAGGGATAAGCTCAAAGGCCATGCTAGACACAAAACCCTTCCCAATTTATCCTCTCAGAAGTAATAGTTCCTTGCTCTGTATCCAAAGTAAAATCTCACTTCTCCCCCCACTCACTCCACTCTCTAGTTAGGGTGGTAAATATTTAAATACATAATTTATCTCCTCCACAAGATGCTTAGCCTCTTGAGGACCAGACTTAAGAACTGTGTTTTATTCATCTCAATATCCCAAATAACACCAAAATGAGAGGGGAGGGGAAAGCCCAGATCTTCCACAGCTCCCCAAAGCAGGCATGAAACACCTTCCTAAGCACAGCCCCTCACTGTTCCTCTCCCACTGCGGTTGTATATTTCTTGATGCTGAAAACACCACCCCCAAGATGGTATCTGGACTTGAGGTTGGGAGGGAGGGGGTCTGTGTGCAACAGAAGGTTTGGTGAGAAATGGGGCACCCCAGAGTTCAGAGTGCAACAGAAACAGGACAGCCCCTGCACATCAGTGAGCCCCTGGGCGGAAGGCTTCCCAAAGAAGACGATTTCTGGCAGTTTCTATTCAGACTTAAGGTTCTCATCTTTTGCTTCCAATCTTTTCTAGCTTAGTTGACTTAGCACAGACTACGATCCCAACACATTAACTTGGTTCTGCTGTGGTCAAATAAATGTGAGAACACTCAAATGTGTCCAGTGGAGCGCAGCTGAATGATAATTGTGCCTGTGTGTGGCTTGTCTTGCTTAAAGGGTTGAGAGTGCACAGGAAGGCAAGTTTCGGTAGAAGGTGAGAGTCGGGGGGCCATGGAGGATGGACACCATTCAGCAGTGGGAGGTGAAGCTATGGGGCTGACATCCGCCCACAGGGTGCCTTTGTGCAGACTGGAATGAAGCAGCCATTCCTCAAGGGCATTTATTTCCTCTGCTGGTTAAATGTCATAATGTACCAAATTTGCTAGAATGAAATGCTCTTCTGCTGTGGTCTCTAAAACTGTCATAAATAAGCCTACAAATCTGATGTGGCCAGTGTGAAGGCTCTCCCAGAGCTACGGAGGACACAGCGCACACTGCTGGGACCCAGCGGGAAGGGGCCCTGCACCAGGGTGGCTGCAGAAAGCAGACAAGAGGTGGTTCTGAAAGGAAGGAAAAGAAAAAAAATCTAAAACTATTTCTACCGAGAAAGGAAAAATAAACTAAATTATTCTCATAGAGCATTTGTTCTCAACCAGGGGCAATTTTGCCCTGCAGGGGACATAGAGCAGTATCTGGAGATGTTTTTAGTAGCACTATGTCGAGGAGGAAGTGACCACTGGCATCTGGGACTAGAAGCCATGGACAGTGCTCGGAGGCCTACAGCACCGAGGATGGCCCCCACAACAGCTATGCGCCCCAAACTCTCCACAGCACTACATGTCACCAGCATTGATACAGTGATGGTTTCATGATGGGATCACAATGAGAACAAACCTGAAGAAAGGGTTTCAGCTGAGAAAGCACCGAGTTACTTAACTGGCAACACCCAGGGTGAATGACACCAGGTTCAGCCACAGACGCCCCAGCCAGAGCTGGCCGCGTGTACAAGAGGAGGACCATCCGCCCAAGAGTCAGCACTGAAATGTCTCAGTCCTGGGTGAGCCGGGATGGCTGGACCCCACCCACAACTCTCAGTGGTACCCACGTAGCCACCTGTCACCAGTGTTCGACAAACAGCAAGTCCCACCTGCTCTGCTTCTCGGTGTCCAGCATCCGCTGTAACTCTCGCACCCGACACTCAAACTGGGACTTCTCGTCGCCCAGGACACTCCTCCACGCCTCCCACTGCCGCTCCTTCTCCAGTAGCTCGTCATTCAGGGCCTCCAGGTCCATGACCTGTTCTTCCAGCATCGTGCAGGTGGTCTTCAGAGCCTCCATCGTCTGCGAATCAGAACCAGAGTTGGGCCTTGATCGCATGTGGGTTTCCTGGATGTCAGGCTTGTGAGATGTGTGGCAGAAAAGCACATGCCTCTAACTACCGTCTGCCACGTGCCTTTATCCCTTTCTTCTATGGACTGAGAGGAGCAGGTGAGAATGGTGGCAGGGCCGCCAGACAGGCAGGGCCCAGCAAAGCAGGCTGTGGAGCGAGTGACCATCCTGAATCCACAAGTGGCTCTCCAGAAACTATTTCTGGCCAGGCTTTTGTGAATTCAAGTTTTCTTGCCCTAGTGTTTATCACAGAGCTTCCTGTGTGGTTTTTATGAGTTTATCCTATGTCACTCTGTGCGTGAGGAAGGCTCCCGGAGGGTGTCACTCCTTCCATCCCATCTTCCTTGCCAGTTTTGCCACATCCTCCTTTCACTGATGCTGCGCACCCCCCCCACCCCCACCCCCGACACACTGCTACCATTCTTACTTTAAACTATCAGCGGACTTTGAAAACATTTAAGGCTTGAGCTTTACATTGGCTTCACTTACGCCATACTGCTACATTTTATTTGTGCACATCGCCATTTCTTCCTAGCAATATCACTTCTACCTGAAAAACTTTTAAAATCTTTCTCACGGTAGTTGGTCCGCTCTTCACATGCTCTGCTATTGTTTGGAGGTGGGGGGCCAAGCTGTACTCACTGGCCTCCCAGTGAAGGTGGGAGTCAAGCTGTACTCGCTGGCCTCCCAAAGAAGGACATATAATTTGCAAAAAATTTTACGTCAAAATCAATATTTAAAAACAAGCCTGTTTATAAGAGAGGCTCTGTGTCTGCACTTGGGAGAGATGCCTCAGGCACTCCCTATATTCTAAAGGGGGCCAGAGTGCTCCAGATGTCTTGGGTGTTGACTGTTTTCTTGTTTTTAATAATTTTTTATATTTATTTATACATACAACAACTGGGGTGCAAGGGGGTGAGAGGATTGACCAGAGACAGAGTGGGGAGCAGGTAGGCAACACAGGAGAGGTCTGCTGCACCATGTGGGTCAGCTCCCTGGCTGGGGATGGATCGAACTTATGCTGCAGTGGCTGCAGATAGCTTCATAGTGCTGAGACTTAACCCCTTGCACCACCGATGAATTATTTTTCAACTGAGGTGACATCAGGGCCCCCCTCGCCACCCCCAGACACCGCTCACTGTCCTCACTTGCTTCTGGCTGGTGAGCTGCATCTCCCTCTCTGTGATCTCGCGGCGGAGGTGGTCCACTTCGCTCCGCAGCTGCACCAGCTCATCGTTGGCACCGGAAGCCTCATCGAGTTGTTTGGACAAGTAGAAATTTTGGTTGTTGAGCTCAGCATTGTCCTCAGTCAGTTGGTTCAGCTGCTCCTCCAGGTCTGTGATTACCTAGAAGAGGAAAGGAACCTGGTTACATACCAAACAAGCCAGTTTTCAAAGAGAGGTGCTTCTAGAGCTGTTGACACCTGACAATGTGTGGCTCACGTGTCTGCCTAGCCCACCTCAGAGCCAAATCCACCCACACGGCCGAACACATACTGTGGGAGAAAGGGAAAGTCTCCATTTCTAACTCAGGATGCAATCGGGAAACAAAAGTAAATCAATCAAAGGTGACTGCTGAATGAAAAGGGTCACTTGAAATGAGGTCAAGTTAATAGACAGAAATGTAATGTGGAAAATGAAAACTAAGGAAAGAGGGAGAATAAAGAGGCTGGTATCACCATCAGTGAATGAAGGTAAAAATGCCCAGACAGCAGCTATTGGACGTTATAATTGGAGAGAATCTTAGAAAGAAAAATAAAGTTCTTGTCCAAGAAGATGGACAGTGAAGGATACTAAGAGCTATTTTAATAATATCTTCGATAATAAATTTAATTTCATGCAACAAAAGAAAAAATTTTAACAGAAGCCCGAAATGATCCCCAAAATATAATACTGTACTACGACTTCCCCTGAATGGTTTTATTATACAGTCAGCTATCAGAAAATGGGGAGGCGTGTATATGAAATTGTCATTTTACCAAGAGAGAGATTTAATCAGGTTTTGCAAAATTATTTCCTTGCTCAATGGCAGAACGACTTCCATTTCAGTACATTTAGCTTTCCTGTTCTCTTGGCTAAGGTTTAGTATCGGCACTTGCAGAGAGCTTTTACATATAATACTTTAGGAATTTAAGGGCAATTTCCTAATAATAGTCGGAATGAGGCGCATAGGCAATAAATTAAATTTCATGTAACAAAAGAAATAAATTAGAAGAAATTGCCTTTAAGCTTACGCTTATTAATTATTCCCAATTTTCAAATCTAGAGAAGAGTTAGGTTTTGAAATGTTGCCACTGTTTTCCTGACTAATTTCCTATTCTAAGCCCTTTTGATTATCAATTAAAAACAAATCTTCCCGGGAACACAGAATGCAAGAACATCAATTAAATACATCTATTCAGTGTGGCTCAGAAAACACACATTTTCACTTTGTTAACTGAGCTGATAGGCTTCTAATGTAGTAAGTAGTCTAGTAATTGTATTTTAAAGTCAAAAGCCATGTTAATTCCTAATGCACTGGTTTGAGGTATTGTGGGCTACAAGAGAAGGGACAGAGATTATGTGGCCAGATTCTTGGCTAACATTTCTGTATCAAGAGAAGAAAGAGGACAAATTGCAAGTTTATAATTCTTAGCAGTGAGTAATACCTATTAAGGATCCCTGTGTCCTCCTTTCAATGACAAGGTAAAATCTCCAAAACTTAAAAACAATGAATAAACAACAGCCAGTATCTCAACAACTGGTCTCCCCCAAGTATATAGTAACCATCTCATAAGATTTAGCTTCATTCTATACTGCTCAGTTTCATTCTATATCTATCTTTTTTTTTTTTCTTCTCCATATTGTGCTTCCTTCTGGAACTTTCCCAAAAGCAATAAGACTGAAGCAAACTGGCTGGGAAGCATGGATTCCGGAACCCCAGATCAACCACTTTGAATTCTACGGCATTGGTTACTTCATCTGTACCACCAAGGTAAATACTAAGTCGACTCCTTCCTGTGTTTCTCCTGCTTTAACTTTTTTGAATTTTCTTCTACCTTAACATATGGTGAAGTACCAGGGATAAAAACTAATGACCAAGATGAGGAGGCACCACAGGGAGCAAGCAGACTACAGAAAGTCCATTCACAGACTGTCATTGTCATTCCAAGGTAGATTCCCTCGCCATGTCAGGGCATAGTAAAGACCTTGGGGCTCAATTCCTTTCCTTGATTCATGAAAAATAAAAACCCACGAATGTATGATAAGCCCATTTCTATTACCTCTCTTCCTCCCCAAACTAGATTACAAAGTGCTAGGGAAGAACACTTGAGTAGGTGAACGAGGTGCTCAGATGACTCTTCGTCAAGGGAGATGCCTATGGGGCGGGACGGGGCCTCCTGGGCACTGATGATCTGGTCACCAAGAGGTCTCGCCGCTCTGATTTCAATTTCCAATTTGTGTTTGTTGCTTCTATATTTTATCAGCTCTACTTTGCCCAGTTGACAGGAGCTGGGTTTTAGGTAGAGCTCCTAAGCACTCTTAAAAGCATTGTTAACTCAGACATTTTATACATTCTTTCTGTTCCAGCATAACCAGTTTAGCTTGTGATGCTATTGCAGGTCACTGTATTTGTGTATGAAGTGTTAGCCACGCCCTTACACACATACTGGGTTTGTAGATAGTGAACTGACTTGAGGCATAGTTTATAAAGATAATAACAGGCAGTTTGTGATTTCAGACTAGGTACCATGCAAGGAGAATTCTTAGGTCTACTTCATGACACTGGCTACAGTCTCTCCACACCAGGGGCAAATGATCTGTTTACTATATTCAAGGTCTGTTAATCCTTCAACCCTAAGGACAGAAGACAAACAGGTAAATGGAAAGGCTGACTCCCTCATAACCTTAGAAAGGACAAGGGAGACAGCTTTGTAATGTAGGGACCTGCTGGGTTTTCCTACATGGTGCTTTCACAGATAAGAGATCTAGGTGCAATTATAATAGAAAACAAGGATAGAAAAAAAAATTATCTACTCAGGATCCAGATAGAAAAAAAATCTCCACTTGGGGCTCTCCGCTGCTTTTTAAGGCTTTCATGCTCACCTCCTGGATCTGAGAAATGGCTGTTAACCTCTCCCACCCCCTAGGGAAAACAGCAGAGGGAATGCTACCAGGTCGATGTCTATGGCGCAGAACGGGGAAGAAACCAGTCAGATAATGAGCATCAGGCTAAACAGATACCGGGCTCAAGTCCTATTTTAATACCTTGTTCTTTCCTGAAGGAAGCTATTTGCATATTATTTATTTTTAATCTTATAGCTGACAGATTGATTCATAATTAAAGCTGTGTCATATGTTTGCCTACCAACTCCCCTCCAAAACAGACTTAGGTAGGGTTTTAGGTGCCAGATTGAATCAAATCCTTTTTATAAATCTCTTCAAAATATAGAACAGGCCTGAGCTTGAAAATCTTACTGTTCTTGAGCAATTTAGAAGCTGTTTACTGAGCACTCCAATCTGCTAATGGGGCACCCTATCAACAGAGTAATTACTGGCGCTGCCCCCAGTAATGAAGATGACACTTCCTAGCTGACCCAAGCTTGGGCAGCACCGGCAAGAAGGAATATTTATCATGCTCTTCTGAAGTCTTTAAAGCATCCTTTGCACTTGCAGAAGTGTAACCGAGATCTACTGCTGCTGCTAACTGTTGTTCTAAAGCGGTGGTCTTCGAACATTTTTTAAGCAGCAGAATAATTTTCTAAAGATCATGTCCTAAATGCAGTATAGTGAAGTAATAATAGTAACCAAAGGTGTTTATCAGTTTCTATGGATCATGCCCTGTGCAGACATTTTGATGCATCATTTCATTTAATTCTTGCAGGAACAATTTCTAATTCTACACTCAGCGTTTCCTAAGTATTACTGTTTCTCAAATATAAATGTCTACTGGACGAAGCTGCTATCTTTTTTCCCTCACCCAGACCCCCAACAATGCTTATCAATTAAATTTTCACCTTATGATTGATGGTACACTGGACTTGAGGATATACATCAGTTCCACTTTACAGATAGAGAAGCAGGATTGGGAAGATAATATTACATAGGTTACCAAGAAGCCAATTTAGAAACTAAACCAAGACTCCCAACTCCAGAATGTGTGGTCTGGATTGAAAAGCAACCCAGCTGTACTGGCCAAGCAGTGGGGCCCCACCCTTGCAACTGGCTAGGCCCACAGAGGCTTCACCGCAGAATGCCAGAGGTAAGAGAAGCAAAGACTAGTAGTTACTGTACCAGAAAGAGAATTTGAGGGATAACAAGAATCTGAAAGTTATGTAAGTTATGAAAATAACCAACTTCAAGCTATATAATGGCATATTCTATTAAAATGAAACTTCCAATTTTAAAACACAGGGGAGGGTGGGTTACAAAGGGAAACTTTTGAGGGCGGTGGTTATGTTGATTGTTTAGCAGGTTTCACAGGCGTATACACATCAAAACTCAAGAATATGTTGTTCTCCAATTATACCTCAACACAGCTACCAAAAAAATTTTTTTAATTTCTTATGCCAAAAGACTTACAAAAGTAGAAAAGAAAATGCCAGATGAAGAATCACTGGTATACACATTTAAAATACATCCAAGATTGTTTAGAAAAAATAATATAAAAAAGCAGTCAGAAAATGATTTGCATGTGTGCAGTAATTTACAAGCGTATGCATAACAGAAGCAAACAACTCTTGTGTGAACTAAGAAACCCAGAAAATGAAAATTTAAAAAGTAGGGCAAAAGGAATACAGGAACAGAAAGCATCAACTCTTCCTAGAAGGGAGATGAGATGGAGGAAATCAAAGGGCCTCCCCGATCCTGCCCCCAGCATGGGACATGCAGATCAAGAATCCATCCGCCTGATGTCTACTAGCGTCAAGCAGACACATTTCCTGACCTAGACGGTCCGCTCCTGAGCATATGCTCAGCAGAAGCAAGTGCTTACTGACCACAAAGGACTGGTACAGGGATGTTTTCTAACAGCCATATTCATAACAGAAACCATCCAAGGACCCACCAACAGGCAAGTGGATAAACAAACTTCTGTGCATACACTGGAAACACTACACAGTAATGAAAATAACAAGTTTTAATGGAGCCAACAACATAGATGACACTCACAGACACCTTAAGTAAAAAAAATTCCCAGAGGAGCACATCCTATAGAATTCATTCATGTGAAGTTCAAGATTAGGCAAAATTAATCTAAGGCATTACAGGTCAGCATACAGATTATCCTTAGGCAAAGGATGAGGATGAAAAAGAAGGCATGAAGGAAGCTTCTGAGTGCTGGACTGTTCTGTCTTAATTCTGTGGTGATACCGTTTTCTAGATAGGATAAAGTTTCACTGAACTGTACACTTAAGATCTGCACATTTTTTGCACTTCCCTGTAAACATTCTACATTAAGGAGGAGGCAGTATATACCATCAGGACTAGTCCTAGCAGGCAAAAAGGAAAGAAAGGCTCGTTACCAGAAAATAAAATATGCATGGGGTGATTGGCGGTTGACTCTAGAAATTCAGGTGCAAATAAAACAAACAGAGACAAGCTCAATGAAGCCCGACCAAACAAGGGAAATGGAGCCATGGATAAGGATACGGCCCCATTTCAGTCCTTTGTTCTGATCAAAAATAGACTTTGAATTTCCACTGACCCTACACTATTATATAATCTATGCATGATGTTTATTTGCTCGGAGAATTTTTTTCTTTCAATATAGGTAAAATGTCCCAAAGGGCCCTAATATTTGAATTTGCATGCTAGAAAGTAAGATTTTGCCCGTAAGAAGTTAACCCTTCTAGATCCACAGGAGAAGAACTCATTGGTCTCTCCCCTCTGTAGAGGCAGCAAGCTGCAAAAACCTCACAGATATAAATGCCCCAACATCTAGGCAGTGTCTGCTTGGGCTAGCCTTTCCAAAACCTTCTATACTGAGAAGGGAAGGGGAGCTGCTTGGGACTTATGTTGCAGCTGCTGAAACCTATTAGTTGTTCTGCAGTGAGAATTATTTTGACTATTCCAGTTATCTTCCCCCAAACATGAAGAATGGTTTTAAAATTTTCAAATTGGCAGAAACCCAAGAAACTAGTTATCTAGGACTCAGAAACTGCAAATCAGTTTGACCGTATTAACTGCTTTGAGCCAAAAGATTGTATCAAAACTCAGTCACTGCTATTATAAAGAGATGTCCCTTTGTCCTTCTCAGTTTAGTTTCGCGTTATTTGAATCATCTTTGGTTAATACTCACAGTACAGCTGTTACGAAGGGCATCAAATTTGCGCTGGATTTCATCTCTATGTGCCTAAAAGGTAAGAAGTTGATTATAAATTTTTCATAGGGGAGAATACAATTCGACATGCTATGGGTCAAATAAAGAGCACAGCAATTTGCCTAGAAAGCCAAGAATGCTGCTGCCTCAGCCCCCAGCATCTGTTTTTCAAAGAATGAATTAATCCAGTCATCCCCAAATGAGAAATCAAGTTACAAGAATACACAAGGTTGTGTAAGAAACACCTGACCAACATGCATACCCTGTACAAATATACTTAACATTTATATGCACACCTGTGGATAAGTAGGTGGAAAGGGGAGGAAAGGATGAAATTCTTACTGTCCCTCATTATCTTTTCTATTTTCTTAATCGTTCCCTCTTCCCTCTATTTAACCATCATCCACCCCTTAGGCTACACCCTAAAAAAAACAGACATACACGCACATGCACACGCACACACACACACACACAGTGACCTTGAAGCAACTATGAAGGCTTTCTTCAGGACAGAATTGCTCCAAAGAGGTAGCACTCATTCATTTGACAAGGACATTGTGCATGCACTAAACTGTGACGTGCTGTGTCTACATGACTACACATCAGACATTGTGGTTAGACAGAGTAAATATGGCTGACACCTTCATTCTGGTGAGGGAAGACAGAAAAACAGAAAATAAACAAGTGCATGATTACAAACAGTGACAAAGGCTATGAAGGACACAACAGGGTCCAGAAAAACAAGTGTGGGAAACAGCAAGGAATTCAGATTGGGAATGTCAAGGAGGGCTTCCCTGGAGAGGTAACATTGAAACTGAAGCCTGCAAGATGAGGAAGCAGCCGCACAAAGGGCAGGACAAGGCAGAAGGAACAGCATGTGCAAAATCCTTAAAGGTACAAACAGTTTGGTGGTTCTGATGAACAAAAAGTGGCCTCAGAAAAAACTACAGCAGAGCTTTTCAAACTTCAAGCTGTGACCCAATACGGAGCATGACAAGTGGACTAATTGGTTTGGTTTAGGCTTTTCATTTTATTTAGTTTTCTCCAATGAAATGGAATCAACAGGATAGAAGAGTAAACGTCAGAATGTACCTTGAGTAGTAAAGATTATATGAAACTTTTGCTTCAGATAGCTAATCCATCAAACCTAACTGTTATCAATTGTAAAACTTATGTAACATTAAAAATAAAAGGTGCCATTAAGTGAACTCTGACAAGTTTGAGGGTATATGACTATCTAGCCATATCTATCTGCGGTTTTAAGCTACATCCTGTTTTAGATAGCTTCAAATCAATGAAATATATATTCTCTTATGTTATAATACAAGGCAGAATGTAGTGTTCAGTAAGTAGTGGTCACTTTTTGAAAACCACGTGGCTAAAACACTGAAAGAGAAGGGAGAAGTGGCCTAAGATGATGGTTGAGAGGCAGGCAAGGATGAAGAAGTCTTGAAGGCCTAGGAAAGAGTTTGGGTTTCATTCAAAAGGAAAGGAAGTCACTGGGGCTTTTAGGAAGTGTAGTGTTATAACCTGATTGATGTTTTGTGGGTGCTAGTGGAAGAACAGATTGAAACAGGACAAATGAAGAAAGTAACAGAGAAACCATTGAGAATCTTGTCATGATCTTCAAGGATAAGATGATGGTGACTTGGAGTAGGATGATGCTAAAAAAATAAAATAAAATAAATGGGACTGATATCTCTTTTGGAAGTACAGGTAAGAAGACCTGTTGATGGGACACGGGGAACCAGGAAAGAATGCTCTAACAGACTTGATTCAATAGGTTAGATTATGGCACCAACAGTTTAACTATGAAAGCCTAAAGAAGGATTCAGGATTCAGTTTGGGACTGAGGTAAAAATAGTTCTTCTTTTAGAAACAAAATTTGTCCCCATAAACAGATCTATAAGAAAACTAAGTGAAATCCTTAAAGCTGTGATCTATTGTCTAAAATGTCTATTTTGCCATATTTTAAGTTTGTAACAGTAGGCTAAACACTGCATTTAAAAAAGATTAGTGAACTTGAAGACAGCAATAGAAAATATGCAAAATGAAACAAAAAAAATCACTTAAAAAAGTTAACAGATATCAATGAGCTGTAAGAAAACTTCAGTTCTGTGTATATGTAATTAGAGTCCTTGACAGAGTGGAAGGCATAAATACTTGAAGAAATAATGGCCACAGACTTTTCAAGTTGATAAAACCATAAACCGAAAGATGCAAAAAAAAAAAAAAAAAGGAAGAAAATTAGGTTAAATAATATCACAATCGAACTATTTAAAACCACAATAAAGAGAAAATGATGTTAAAATCAACCAGAGGAAGAAACAAGTTACATATAGAGGGGAAAAAGAGAATACGGGAGCTTTCTCATCAAGAGGGATTGTGGAGGTGGGAAACAATGTAATAGACAGTAGGGCAGTATCTCTAAAATCCTGAAATGTGTAGTGGATGAATGGGGAGAAACAAAACCTCATCAAAAAACAAAACAAACAAACAAAAAAAGGCTGGCAACCTAAAATTCTATATCCAGCTAAAACCTCTCTCCAAAAAAGATGAAATAAGGACTTTTTAAAGGCCAAAAGAATTTATTTTCCACCTCTAAAAGGAAATCCTTCAGGAAGGAAAAATGACAACCAGAAATTCAAATCTACAGAAAATAATGAAGAGCACTAGAAAAATAGACAGTTGCATAGACAGACAGACATATTCATAAGTAAAAAGTTATTTAGAATCAGCTTCCCAAAACAGTCAATATTTTTAGGGCCTAATTTAATAGATTGTATTTCTTCTGCAAAAAATTGATTTTCTTTTTCCCAAAAACAATGATGTAGAGTCAAATAAGAATATTATTTATCCACGGTAGAAATGTAATCATCCACTAGTCTCCTCTGTGAGCAAGCAGCAGCCTGGCCCCAAGGACCATCCTACTCAATCAATACATTCCATGAAAAGCAAGGACAAAAGGCAAGGATTCTTCTTGGAGGAAAAGTAAGGCCTTTGGGTTAATAAACTTTAGAGCAGACATGAAGCAAAGCAAATGAGCACCACACAGTAACTACTTTTACTTTGAGAGGTCTCCAGTCTCTGTCACAACTCTGCCTCACTGCACAAAAAAATAGCCAAACTATATGTAACTAAGTAGGCATGGCTGTGTGCCAATAAAATTTTATTTACAGAAAGCAGGAGGTAGACAGCATTTGATCCTATGGCTGTAGTTTGCCAAGTCCTGATCTAAACGACTATTTGGTGTGAAATCTCTGAGAGATCAAAACAGGAAGCTGAGGGTGGAGTTAATTCCTTCCCAGCTTAAGGAGTGATCATAAGTAAGCTGAATGATCTAGACTCAGGGAGAGAAGCCTTGTTCCACTTTTTCATTTATAGTAAATTTTTGAAATAACATCACACCACTAACTACTTGTTCAATGGTAGCCTAAAATTTCAGTCACTGACACTGATTCATTTCCATTAAATGGAACCATTATGAGGTCTCTGGACCATGTTGACACATCAAATGGCAATCTTCTTCGAGGGTGTAATGTAATGAGTTACAATCACTACAGCTTTTGATTTATTATTGACTATGAAATATAAACACAAAATCTCTTTGTTTATGCATTTAACAATCATAGAACCATTTCTGCTAAGAAAATGGCAGGAAACACATGCTCTATGCTTCTTTCAAATGAGCTGTAAAACAGATGAACAAAAAAGCAAAAGGTCACACAATAGTATGCTGAAGGATAGTAAAATACATCAGGCAAGCAAGCTTTGGATTCTCTCAATGAAATATTAGAGTGTTAATTAGGTTTATATGCTATAAGGAATATTTACACTGGTAAAAATTATTCAAGACTGCATAGAGCTTTTTTTTTAATATGGGTTATTGCTAATATTTACCACATTAAAAAGAGATATTTTTCAATTTTTAAAAATTTCCTTTCAAGTGACAGTGCTTTTGCATCATCAGTACAAATACTAAAACCATGAAAAATGCCAAGCGACATCTTAGTATTATTATGGAAATAATCTGACCTTAGGGACCACCAGCCACCCACAGGTTCCACTGTGAGAACCAGTGGCCTACAGTTTGGGAGGCAGAAAGTGGGCTAGACAGGCTGCAATCTGAAAGGCGGTGCGCTCCTTGGGAGTACTCCAGCTTTCACTAATATCAAGGAAAGTCACAAGCAGAAGAAAGATTATAATGCAGTCTTGATGACAGAAAACACCTGCAGAGCTGAGGAAAGGAAACTAGTTGAAGTGTCTGGCCCCAATGTGGCCCCCAAGACCAGCATTCTAGAACACTCCAACTTCCGTGCACCCAGCCCCTGCCCTGTGAAGGTGGGCACCAAACCAGACTGTTACCTCACCTGCCCCAGTTTCACATTTGGCTGCCCCACCATTGGCTTATTAATTAAGTACAGGGTTTGATACTTATATTTTAAAAGATGAGCACAAGCATTGATTAATGACTTGGACAAATCAAGAAGAATGACTCTAGGATCCCATAATCATGCTATGCAGGGAGGATGCAGCTCATTACTGTCTCCAGCTTGAGACTCCTGATTATTCAGCATTAGTCATTTAACCAAATCAGTAAAAAACACGAGGGCAGGGACATGAAATGTGTTCATGGGGCCTTGCTGGTGTACACAGACCCCATGCCACACCGCTGCCTTGTGGCCCCATGTGGTGTAAAGTTCACGTCAAGTCACTCATCTGTGGGGGCTAAGGTATGTGAGTTCTCGTCCTTAGATGAAGGGATTATTAAATGAGGTCTTAAATGTCAAGCCCAGGTGGAACTTTTTCAGCCACTAATTAGCACTCAAACATCTTAACAACACAGCTTTTTTGCTTAAAGTTGATTTTCCTGGTGGCCTCTGCCTTGATTCAATCTTATCTTTTAATGGCCAGTTGCAACTGACAGGGTGGGGAAGGGAAGGTCAACTCGCATCCCAGCAGCCTCTGCAAAGAGAGCTTCCGTTAACTGCACTTGGCCTAATTTGGCCCAGTGGTGGAAGCCAAACAGGGTTAACTACTCCCTTCCCAGGCTAAGAGAGGGCCACCTCTTAGATTAAACAATAACAGTCACCTGAATACTGATGAAACATCCTGCTGTGCAGCTCAACCCTCCTAAGAGATCATTTCAGATCCAGCTGATTTAATTTGACTGATGCTTGAGGTGGGCCTGCACTTGGGTCTCCAACAAAGAGAGTCAGAGAGCTTCATGGTGAGCACGTTCTCTTGGAAAATACATTGTTCGGAACAAATTCAACAAAGCCATTCAGCTACCAACCACATGGGGTCCATAACCAGGTTTATGGGGCATAATCAAGAGGAGGGGTGAGAAAAGCACCACAGCCTCAAAACTGAACAGAAGCAAACTGACCTGGGGCTTGGGTCCCCGTCTGAAATGGGGTCACAAACAGCTGTTTGACCGAGGGGACTTCTCTGCCATCGTTTTGAACAAGCCCAATTTTCATTAGCACCTTTGCCTACAAGAACAGTAGAGCCCTAAATTCTAGACCTAGGGAGGTTTGCTTTTGCATTCTTTTTTTTTTTTTTAAGAAGATCTCTGAGGCAGTGACTTCATCTGCCTAAATTAAGTCGTGACTTGCTGCTGTGCTAGGCTTCCAGCAGCCATTAGACACAGCACATTCCAAACAGTGGCAAGACAGGATTTAGAGACTAATTTCCCCACAGATAAACAGCAGTGACACATGCTCTATTTTACACCCCCCTCCTTCCAAACCGGCACAGTAAGATGCATGGCCACCACCGTCCCTGCCAATTCCAACAGAGCAGGGAGATAAATGTGTCCTTCTCCTTGCTCAAAAGTAAAAAGATCTAAGCAATGACAACCCAATTCCCTAGGGAGAAAAGGGCTAAAGGAACAGCGCTGGGCACACAGTGAGGATTCAAGTATGGATGGGATTGCTGTTGTCTCTTTTCCTTTCTTTCAGAGCTTGGGGGCTCACACAGGGGGAACTATTAATACACAGTGCACTAAATATGGACAGTAGGTGTTGACTTCAGCAGCTAGGAAATGCTATCTGGCTATCTCCCAAACCACCCAAATCTAGAAAACATGTAAGTCTTCTTAACACACACTCATATATATTAATTTCATTCCTATCACCATTGTTTTCCTTCTATAGACTTATTTTCTCATTGGCTTTTCTCTCTTATTTTGCCCTGTTACGCTGCTTTATATCGTTCCAATCTGCCTCCCATCCATTTTGAAACTGGGCAAAGTAAAAGCAGATAAGACTATTTTTTCCCCAGCAAAATATGGGGGCACCATTATTAATGAGTATCCTCAGAGAAAGTACAACTAAGTTGCAATCAACATCTGAACTTGGCTTAAGTCCTGGAAAATCTAGAATGAGTAAGCACCTTCTGTGTAGGAACCACTCGGTCCCCCCAGAGCTGCAGACATCCCTGTGTCCCTCTGATTAGGGCCCAGCAGTGTCAAATCATGTTCCTGATTTGGTTCCCAAATCCAACACAATGAGGGATAATTTCTTAGAATGAAATGGTGTTATTTTCTAAAATAGATGTACAGCTTTTTAACAAGACAAATTCATAAGCAATGGAAGTTCACAGCCATCTCTAGACGGGAGCCCACCCAGAGATATTTGCTGACATTTGCTAGGACATTTGCTGATGGTGGTGGCGACAGCAGCCAAGAGGAATCCGAATGTATCAGGCACCACTGTAGGTACCTCATTTATAAAAACACGAACCCCATCAGCTGCTTGGTGCCCTGCCACAGCCAAGGGCACCCTGACCAGCTAGCTGAGTGGGCACACCAGGCACACTGGGCAGGCACAGTGTGTCGCTGTTAGAAATGCGTGCACTTGCTTGGCACCAGCCATTAAAATGCATTCAGCTCTCTATGCTGAAGCCAGGCCCGCCAGACAGACTTCCAAGAGAAGTGGGGTTTGTAAGCAGACTTCCCTAAAAGGGAGAACATGTGAAGATTAGTCACCTAGAGTATCATAGTCAACTCAGTGGTTGTATTTACCACTTAAGTGGGTAAGCTGGCACTTTGATTCTTGCCAGTTATGTAGCCTGGGCCATTCCCTGGGAGAGGGGTCAACTGTGGGAAACTGACCTCAAAAGTCATATTTTTAGACTATCAGAAAGGAGGTCTAAGTCTAGTGACGACCCTGCCCACCAAGTTCTCCTGAGAACAGTCTTCAGTTGAGTAAACTGGTCTCTGAGAAAGAGCAGGGAAGCGGGGTCTCTTTTAGGGAAAGGATCTTTCGTTGGAAACAATCATTTCCATTGCATCCTGCCAGATGCCAGATGCAAGCATATGACATGAAGCCAAATCTACAACTTGGAAAAAAGATAACACAAATGAGGTCAACCAAAATAGAAATGTGGTATAAAGAATACAGTTAGATACAAATTGTTATCTTTTAAGGATTATTGAAAACTAACACAGAGGACCCAGGTCAATGGGCTTCGGTGGAAACTGAAAATTTAAATATAGTGATGATTCCTTTAAAAAGAGGAAGCACATAAATCAAGAAGGAAATTTTCCAGATACTAAAGAAAGCTCAGAAATTACCAACTGATGGAGTATACAAATTCCAGTGAAGCAGCAGCCTATGTAAGTTCTTTTTCTGCCCATTACACAAATCACAGATTGTTTTTCTCTCTTGGAAATTCTAAGAGTGAGCAAATAACCTCAGCACTGCACTCATTCTAGCTGAGACCTTCAGTAGCCTGAAGGTGCAGCACTGCCCAGGCCTACCGTGAGCGCCTGGATCTCTTCTTCTGCTTCTGCTGTAGTCTCTTCCAGCTCCGTCTTCGCCTGGCGAAGCTGGCTCTCCAGAGCCGCCCGGGCAGCCTGCAAGGCTGTCAGCTGGGACTCACGCTCTTGTAGGGAGAGCTGCAGCTCTGTGAGCTGGCGCTTCAGCTCCAATTTCTGCTCCTCATGCTCTAGGCTGACCTAGAGAGAGAGAGATAATGCATCGATGTATGTATGCTTTGGTTGAGACTTTGTTAGTAGACAAGATGAGAGACGAGATCACCTCTCACCATCCCTTCTTCCTAAGAGACAGTGTGGCTGAAGCCTGGACTTCAGCACCAGTTTTGACAGCTTCAAATCCTAACTCCACCACACAGAATCATGTGGATGAGTTACTAACTCTCTGTGCCTTGTTTTCCCCACCTATAACATGAGGACGGCATGATTTCCCCACATGTCTGATCAGGTTCTGGTTCCTTTTAGCTATCTCTTTCACCATGTTATCAATGAAAACAAATGTCTTTCAGAGTGAGAAACCCATGAAGAAACTCCAATTTAAAAGGCTGTGCTGTGCGTGTGTAGGTGTATAGGAGAGAGAACCCAGGACCTACAGAACAAAATCAATTCTATTTTCTGTTAAGGCCAATCATAAGACCAATTCCTCAGGAATCTTTGAAGTCAAATTCCCCAGCAGAGAACCAAATGGCACTGAACTGAACTGCCCGGCATGGAGAGATTTTCAAGGCAAAGGCTCTCCCACTTTGGGCCACCACATCCGACGTCCTCACTATTGTGCTTGACCACAACATACAGTAAGAGCTGATCAAGACGCAACCTGCTGTTCAACCCTCGTCCTAAACCCGGCCCCAGAATCAAGTTCTCAGCACTCGACTCAGAGGTGGGGAGATGCAGCAGACACATCTAGGAGAGCACCAAGGAGAGAGTAGGCGAGAGAGTGACTCCAGCCCACATCCCTCACTCAGAAATATTCACATGCTTGGGAAGGCATCAAAAGAAAACCCTCACAGCAACAACCTCAATGGAAATTATAGCAGTTACTCTGATTACAAAGGCATTTTTAAAGTAAATGGATATAAATAACATCATATTAGCAACAGAGAAGCCTTTACGATTAGCACGTACATGGACCAACAGGCTGAATTCTATCATTTTAAATATTCTTGCTCTGATTTTTTTCTCACTAGGTAAACCACATTACTGTCACATTACAAACTAATCATTCTTTCCATCTGCCCATCTGAGTACCTACTCAACATTTCATTCACTCTCGTAAATCTACTCAGCAGAGTTTGTAGAAAAAGGGAGATGAAAGGCAGCCTCTGTTTCCAGCTGGGGAGAAAAATGAAAACCAAACATTACCATAGATTGGCCAAGTGCGATGATCAGGGCATGGAAAGAGAGAGTGGGAGCCCAGCACAGGGGCAGAGGGCTAACTCCAGATGTGTCTTAAAGAATACAGAAGCCAGAGGAGCAGGGAACAGGGAAAAGAGAATTCAAGCTGAGAAAGCAAGAATAAACGTGTGGAGAAGAGACACGACACTCCCGGGGCAGAGCCAATGTTGATCACTGGGGAGCCAAGCAAAGTAGGGGTGTCCCTGCCTTTGGGACCCACTGCCAAGGGGCTGCCTACAGGTACAAAGGGCGATGAGCGAACATGGAGGCCAAAAGAGACACCCATTCTGCGGCAGAGGGCTGGAAAAGCTCCCAGCAAAGGCGACATCCAGGTCCCAAAGGTGAGGGGACTTTCCTAAGTTTAACTCAGAGAACCAGGAGGACTGAGTGATTCGTTGGCAGTAGGCCAGGTAACAAAGGACAGAGGGGACTCAAAGGTGACTTGCGCGCTTCAGAGCAGGAGACTGGCCCAGCGTGAGACCAGAGACCAATCTGAGATCAGAAGTTCAGGCTCGATATGTGGTATCTGAGGGGCAAGGAAAACTCCTGAGTGGATACTAAAGTCTCCCGGGACAGTGGGTAGGAGACTCGAGAGCCAGGGGCCCGGGCATCTAGTGCGAGGCCCTCACGGGTCGGGGGCAGCAGAAGCCAAAGCTGTGGCCTCTCTAAGGAGAGAAGGGTGACGCGTGCTCGCAGCCAGGGAGCACTCAGACACACCAGGCCCTGCTTTGGCTCACTTCATCTCCCTAACAGCCAGCGACAGGGGTGCTGCCGACCCTTGTTTCCAAGTGAGCACGCGCACAGCATCACACACCAAGGGTGGCAAAGCTGGCAGAGAACCCGGGAGGCCTGGCTCAGAGCCCGTGACTTCCTGCTTATCTTATGAAAACAGCAGCAGTCAGCGCAGGCTGGGAGTCTTCTAGCAAGCCTGAAAACTCCCGATGCTACTCAGCAAAACCTTGAGAGGCAGGTGACAGAAGTCAAGCAGAGGTGGGGGCAGCACGCTGCGCAGTGACAGGGAGCACTGGGCCCTGCAGCTCCCACACTCCACACCCGGGGTGAGAAGAGCTGCCACTGCGGCCCAGGCTCGGGAACCAACGGCCCGGGCTGGCTCAGGGGATCAGAGCCAAGGCTGGGGCCTCTGCCCCAGCCCCAGTGGCAGCATGTGGCAAAGAGAAGACAGGCCCGCCTTGTGAGGACTAAACTAAGCTCCAGACCCCGGGGAACAGCCCCGTATCTCTCAGCAGGGCATGTCAAGTTCTCCCACCAGCCCTGAGCAGGGGAGGAGGCAGGCCCTGCGGACTCAAAAAAAGGCAACAAACTTCCCCGGGAGCATTTTAATTGCCCAGATGAGCCACGGCTGCCAGGCGCGCAGGGGAACGCGTGGCATCTGTGCAGAGGGGAGCCAAAGAGCAGTCAGTCCATGCTGCCACACTGAGTCTGCCACACAAGGAAACGGTGGTGGCCCAGGAACCTGCATTCCAACACCGGCACATCAGCTGAACCTAAGGGGCGGTCTACACCTAGAAAAGTCCCTGAAAGAAAACACAAAATTATACATTTTCTTCTGTTCTTTGGAGAACTGGCCTCAGGGGAACATTCCAGTTCAAACTAAGCATACCACATGTCAGTATTTGCCCAGACCTCTGTCTGCCCACCAGCGCCTCCCTTAAGAGACATCACCTAATCTTTGAAGAATTCTACCCACGAGACCCGGGCGCCATCTCCACCTCCAAGGACCGTTCCCCACCAGCCAGTCCGGCACGTCGGCCACCCTGCCGCTAGCCCACCGCCGAGACCGGGGCTGGGTCTGTCTTGTCAGCTTTGTGCCCCCAGGACCACTCTTTGCAGGTGGCAGGAATTCAGTAAATGCAGCGAGTGACGGCAGGGATGTAGCTTCACAGTCTGAATCAACCTCAACACATCTACAACCAAACGTGTCCTTTTTCCTCCCCCAGAACTCGCCAGTCACCCAGTTGCCTAGCGCTGCTGAAGAGAACCACCTTCCAGCACACTGTCAGTTCCAGGTTGTTTCTTCATCTGCCACTGTCATTGTGAGCCCTCGGCCTCTTGTCACGAAGCCGCGCTGTGTGCCCAACACTGTGCTAACAGAGTGGACCTGGCCATGTGACCCTTAGTTAGAACAGGAGAAACGGCTGTGCCCTTACACCCCACACCCCCGGTCACCTTAGCCCCTGGTGACCCTCGGCGGTACCACGGTAGGGGAGTGGCCACCTGGCCAGGTTGCAAACACCTGAGGGTGCTGGGACACTAGCCAGATCCTTGAGGCCTGCTCTTCACAGGTGACAGGTCTAACGGCGACACCCGCACTAGGAAGGCAGCAGCCACCACCACGAACTCCAGCCCGGCTGCGGCTTCTAACCCGCCATTTCAGCCTTTCCGAAAGTATCCTTGTGGATCTTTTCTAGTCACCAAAGGCAAATAGGAAAATCTGCCTTAAACCCCTTGTCCACTCCCCACAGGTAGCCAACCTAAGCCTGAAATCATTCTTTCTTTATTTTATCTCTTTTTGCTATGAAAATCTTTTCGCCCTGAAGGGAGTTCACAGAGCCTTTCTCCTTGTCAGATGGGATATTGCCCCAACGGAAACTGTTTCCTAACCAATTAGACCTGGGAAATCACTGATTGGATTTCTGTTACTTAACAGTGTACTGCTGACGTAACTGCTGACTCAGTGTGCCTGGGACCCTGAGTCCCAACACAGATTCCCTCGGGAAATCACCCCCTTCTCACCTCTCTCAACCTCGTCTCCAGCTCCAGCAGCCGGCTCTTGTCACTGTGGTCCTGGTGGCTGATTTTTTCCAGCTGTTCCTCCAGCTTTCGGTTCTGGGCCTCCAATTTCCCAGCCTGCGTCTCCAGGTAAAACTTCTGTTGCCTGAGTTCTGAAATCATCTCTTCCTGGGCCTTCCTGGTGGGGCGGGGGTGGGAGGAGCCAAACAAAGTCACAGTCCCATTAGAGGGGAGCACACCCTCTCAGAAGGAGGAAAACGAAGCCAGAGATATGTCTGGGTGAGCAGATGGTGGTCATTCCCAGGTCAGCCATGTCCTTGGCTTCTGGATAATCCCAGTAGGGGGTCTGCTCAGAGCTACCTACTTTGGGATTAAGTATAGTCAAGGAGGAAACAAGAGATACCAACACGTCGCTCTGCTGGTGTTTTGTCTATAGAGGAGAACAGAAATGGGCCTCCAAGCACACTAGTACCCCAACACACTAAGGCAGATCCAGGGGCAGGGGGCCAGAAAAAGGACTGCTCTGCAGACCCTGCTTGCCTCTCCTCCAAGCTGTTCGGAAGTCTCAGGAACTGGAATGACTCAAAGCTTAAAAAGCTGCTTACCAGGCTGGTTTATAGTGAGATAAGAATGTTTAGAAAGATCTCAGAAGACATATAAGGAGTAAACAAATCCTGAAGATTGTAATTCTCTAGGGGAAAAGATTCCAATCAAAGCGCTCCTGGAACGCAGTCTTTGCTGAACCCCAAACTTCATCCTCCAGGGCCTGACTTAACAACAGCAAAATGGATGGCCCAATTGGGCACACATAAGATCACCTCAGGCTATCATGGGAGGCAGGCCCCAGGACAAGGACTTTCCAAAAGCAAACTAAAAATAGACTCATTAGAGAGAGCGAAACACTCTGTGATCTGATGGCAATTTGAAGCATTTAAAGAAAACCCAGCTCAGAAGAAAGGACACGGGAGAGTGAGAGCATTTAAGAAAGGGCAAAATTACATAAGTATAGGGGGCTGGGCCAGAGCACAGAAGTAATTAAATCTGCTCCAGCTCCATCAGACAGAGGAAAGGAGTTTATGCCCCAGGAGAGAAGACCAAAGTGTAATCCTGCACACAGTTAGCATTTGAATACTTACATGTTCCTCTGAGTGAAAAGACTGCTGTTTGCAGCAAGTTTATTGGCTTCTGACAGTTCCACAATCCTCTGCTCCAGGGATCTGATCTTTGAGTCCATAGCATTGATCATCTAAAACACAGGGAACCGTGGAAAGTTCACACACACAGTTACCAGAGCAAAAGTAACTGGGGCATGTGAGTCAGGGCAAAACACAGGTAAGTTGGCCAAAGGCCCAAATGAAGGCACTCAATTGTTTCACCAAACAGAATACACATGCACACACAGTTAAGGGGCCTCCATTAAAATGCACCAGAGGCCCCCTGCAGGAGCCAGACAGCCCTTGAGTAAACAGGCCTCGATAAATCCCCCGGCACTGCATGTGACCTGAGCCTGCAGGTGCCTCAAGCTTGAATCTGCAAGTTCATATTTTTCTTTGCCCATCGGGCTGTCATTTTCTGAGTGAGTCTATCTCAGCCAGCCACCGCTGTCCTAGATTCTCTCTACATCAAAGTTTCCCTCACTTAATGAATCCTAAGAATCAGGGAGGGTGCGGGTTAAAAATACAACTCCAGGGCCAGTCCTTGGGGATTCTGATGGGTAAAGTCTTGGTGGGGTCTGAGATCACATGTAGATTAATTAACAAGCATCACAGGTGGCCCTCACAAGCAGCAAGTTTCTGAAGCATCTGTGTACATGGATTAAAGGGAAAAAAGCAAGTGAGAAGTAAGAAGACACGTGAGGGAGACCTAGAGCCACCCAGCCTTCTGTCAGGGGGCATTCTGAAGGGCAGTGTTCTAGCTGCTGGCAGGACAGCCCAAGTCCTTAAAGGACGGCAAAGGTTAAATTGGCCACCCTTAGCTGCTTTGGGGAGAGGAGGAAATTGCAGGAGAGTTTCCATGTAGCAATAAACTCCAAAGGAATTAAGCAGAAAAACTAATCCACCAGGTGGAATGAGCTCTTGCAGGTGTGTTCCTGATATGTTTGTTCCACGGCCTACCTATGAAAACTGGCTCTTGGTTGCTTATACCTACCGCCTTCTGCTCGCTGAGAATTTTGCCTTTCTCATGGGCCTCCTCCTCGTGTCTCTGCATCAGATTCTCCAGAGTCTCTTTATCAGCCAGGTCTTTCTTTATCTGGTTGTCCAGCACCTTCAAAAAAAACAAAAGAGGTAGTTAAGAGTCTTGAGCAGCAAAGTTGAACAGGGAAGACGAACCAGGACCTTTGTGAAAAGTCAGTAAAAGGAGAAAAAGCAGTGGCAAGACTGAGCCCTCCAACTCTGAAGGAGGACGATCAGGAATCTGTCTACCAGCCAGGATGAGGCTAAGCAATCAGGCAATTACCATCAAGTGGCAATTAACAGGTGGCCTGGAATGAAGAATTTATTTTAAAATCAGCAGCCAAAAAGACTCAAGAGATAGATCCAAAGTGGAGGTAAACTCCAAAATGGGGGGGAGGAGGGGAGGTCTCTCCCCAGATCTTATCATTTTTTCAGCTAATACCAACGTACCAGTAGTTTTCAAAACACGACCTGCTCTCACTTTGTACAAAATTTATCTCAGTTCCTCTGGGCTATGTGCAGAGGGGCAGAAAGCTGAAGAATGAGCAAATCTGGGTGACCAAGGCTGACGTTCAGGAAAAGCCAGGGACAAGAGGATTCTGCCCACCAATAAAGTAGGTGGAGAGTCGACAGATGGGAAAGACAACATAAAAGAGAGGGAAAAAAATTCTTCTCTTCTTTCTTTTTTCTGATCCAGCTGGAGAAAAAAAAAAAAAAGTCACTGGAAAGAACCCTTCCCTGGGGGAACAGAAATCATGTGGCCTCAGTGTTGAGAACACTACTGTAAGCACCGACTGTTCCCAAGGGGAACAAATAAAACCAAACAGCAACGGAGCGACCATCCACCAGCTTGATCTAATGTTCTGTGAGGCACACACAGTCCTGCCAGTTGCCAAAACAGGCCAAAAAGGAAAAAAGGAAGCCATGACTTGTCTCAGCCTTTGACCACAACCTGGTGTTTCTCATCACAGAGAATCCACCCTGCTTTTCTGAATGGCACCAACTGCATTGGGTTTTGGGGAGGAAGCTGAAAGAATTGGGGTCACAGATGGGACTGAAATCTGCCTTCCCCACAATGTCTATTGTGTAGGGGCCCTCATAGCTCAAGGGGACAGCATCCATAAAAAGAGCCTGTCAGCAGGGAGGGGGCCCACATGACAAAGAAAGGCAAGAAAAGATTTCAAAGAGGACTTTAAACCAGCAGTGAGTGATGGAAAAAAAATAGAATGGGAGTTGGTGGAGAAGAACAAAGGGTGAAGGACAGGGTCACTGGAGGAGGGAATAAGCTCAATAGGACCAGTGGCCCATTCTCTTGGATGTCAGGACGTGATTCTAAAATTAAGAACAAGAAAAGGACAGAATCTAGGGTAGGATCATAATTATTACCAAAATGCCCTTACTGAGGCTAGGACAAGAACACAAAGCAGAGCAGGCTTCCAGGAGGGAGGACAGAAGAAAACAGATCTTGGCCTAACATTCTCCAGGATGTACCAAACAAAGTTCTCTCTATCTAACAGGTAGCGAAGACCACACAATGTCCAAACGAGTCTCACTCCTTTTTTATGAGTGCTAAGCCAGACAAACCGAGCACATTTCTAGGGTGAATCTGCCTAAGACCCAACTTTGCTGGTGATGGATACCAACAAGAGGGAAGTGTGAATCAGGAGAATGTATGTATTGTGCGTCTTGGATTTGACAGGGTTAAACCAGCAGAAGGACAAAAAAGAAGATGCAAGGGAGTGGGGGAGCCAAGAATTTGTTTGAGAGGAGAGATTCCACTGGAGATATTTATATCAATTTAAGATAGAACACAGATTTTGACAGGAAAATCAATATCACCCAAAACAGAGGATGAATCCTGCAAAGGGTTTCATCATGCAAAAGTGCTAGTGAACTACTGTGTACATTCTCAGAATTTTCTGAAAGTTTGTTCACCCCAAAGATAAAAATCGGGAAGTCATTAGTAATTCATGGCTTGGTATATAAAGTTGAAAATGCATTACATTGGGGGTGGGGCAGCCAATCAAAACACTTTGAGGTCACTTCAGGGTTGTTTTCCCATATTTCTTTCAATGATGTACAACCCAAAGTAACACAAGGGGTTAAAAAAAAGAGGTGGTAATGCTGCATGAGCATGTGTGTGTATGAGTCCCCAAAAGTGACACAGGCAACTCCCTGAGAACACCAACCAAGTCAGTAATAGCTTCATTACAAAAATTAAAGGCCTCCATCAGTGTCTGATCTGGAAGGGGAACGGACAATTTTGTGATGTGATGACCAGCGTCTAGTTCTCAAGAATATATGAACTGAAGTAAAGGTTTTGTCTAATCATAATGCAACTGTAATGTGACTTCAAAAGAAAATAGACTGATAATTTATTTCTGTTAACTGAATTTATTAATAAGGGTAGAATTGAAATACTAATTTCAATAACTGAAATAATAATTGAATTTTTCTTGTATATAATGGACTAGATTATCTGGACTAGTTCTATGAAAAATATAAAGCTAAATAATATACAGAAAACATTTCCCAAAAAACTCTGTTGGGGGTTTGTCTGGATGGTAAGAATGTAATTAAAGAGCAACCCAGAGAGGCAAGAAAGGCCGAAATTGTTTTTAAATTGAGATATAATACAATAATCTGAACTTTGTAAATGAGCTTCATTGTAATAGCCTCAAAGCGTAAGAGCTATCAAAGCCTGTGACCACCTCACAACATGAACACATATTTTCATTCAAAACCTCAAAGAATTCCCATTAATAATTTCTAAACAATAAAAATAATGAGCAGTTCACCACCACAGAAGCAGACAAGTTCTGTGAAAAAGAACCAAGAGCAACATCAGAGCAAAAAAACAGACCTTCAGGTATTGGGATTACCAGATACAGCTGATAAAACAACTATGACTTAATCATTTAAAGATTAAGAGACAAGTTTTAAAAACAAAAGCAAGGAATAGAAAATTACTGTCTCAAATAATCTAGTGAATTTGGGAAAGAACCAAATAGAATGTCTAGAGACAAGAAAAAAAATAGCTGAAATTTAAAACCCAATGGGTGGGTTTAACAGCAATTTGGACAGGTAAGGATGAGTAAACTGAAAATCAGTCAGAACTCAAGTCAGGTAACTGGTGGCACAACAGATCAGGACGTAGCACTGCAAGCTAGCCAAGCCACGTCAGTGAGAATTTCATCCTCCACCCTGGAGGTGACCCACATGGTGCAGCAGAACCTTCCTGACCCACTCGCAGCTCCCCTCAGCAGTGTACTTGGTCCATCTGCCTGTTCCGCTCCCCACTCTGTCTCTGGTGAAGTCTCTCACCCCCCACACCTCTGGCCTGTGCCACAGTTCTGTATGCGTAAATAAACAAATCTTTTTTTAAAATGGCTAGATTGAAGGAGATGTTAACACATGCTCAATCACATTTTCAACAGGGAAGAAAAAAGGGGAGAAAACAATACATGAGATATAACAGCCCCAATTTTCCTGAACTGGTAAATGATACATTTATGTTCAAAAGCCCAGTATATCTCAAGTAGGATAATTTAAAAGAAGTCTACATCTAGATATATCACAGTAAAGATTCAGAAAATTCAAGACAAAGCAAAAATTTTACAGCAGCCAAAAAAAAGAACTAAATTACTTCCAGAGAGAGCAAACAGTTTGACAGCTGACTTCTCAGTAGTAACAATAAAAACCAAGTCAATGGAATGTTTTCAAGAGCATTATTACAAACGATTGCAACCTAGAATTCTATCCCCGGTCACATTATCTTTCAAGACTAAACTAAAGACATTTTCAGACAAACAGAACAGCAAGCTTTATCACCAGATCTCCACTGAAGAAAGTCCTCAAGGATCCATTTTAAACAACAGGATACCAAGCGTGAGATACAGGAAGGATATTAAAAGCACAGATTGTGAGGACCCTGTGGCTAAATCTAAATTATCATGGATTGAACGACAGTAGGCTAAAAAAAATTTTTTAATGGACTTGAGAGGGCTCAAGTGGCACAACAGGTTAAAGCACTGCATTATGAAGCTCTCAGAAGCCACTGCAGCATGAGTTCGATCCCCCTGCCAGGGAGCTGATCCACATGGCGTGGCAGACCTCTGCTGACCCGCCCACTGCTCCCCTCTGCAGTGTATCTCAGGACATCTGCCTGTTCTGCTCCCCACTCTGTCTTTGGTGAATCTTCTCACCTACCACACCTCTGGTTTATACCCCAGTTCTGTAAGCATAAATAAATAAATCTTTAAAACAAATAAAAAATGGACTTGAGATATATGACAATTAAGTGTTTTGTTAAACTTCAGATATCCAAACCCTATATGAGTACTATCCCAAATGTTCCCAAGGTCAACATTTACTCTAATCATCATTTGGTTGAGCATTAATCGGCCCAAAGTGCCGCGGAAGAAAGAAACGATACAACGTTGCAGGAGCATGTCAGGGCAACTAAATCCTGCATCCCTGGACTCAAGGGCAGCTGGCATGGCCTCCCAGGCTGGGCACAAACAATACTGCTTTTCCCACCAGGATGAGCGGCAGAAGTCCATCACCTGACATCTAGACGCTGCCCAGGCCAGAGGAGACGACACTTTGCTGTGCCAGATGTCTGGTGCTGCCCTGACATCCTGAGAAGGGCTGACGGGAAAGGGGCAGAGCTGAGCGGCCACTCCGGGAGCCTTCAAAAGGCTCCTATGCACGTGAGCTCACTCTCTGTGTTGTTGGAACTGCAGCACAAGGCAGCTGCCCTGCCAGCTGGACAGCTAGCAGACCTTCACACCCTGGGCAGGAGGAGGGCTCCCTCTCAACAGCATCAGCGGACCTCTGCCACACCCTGTCGCCCCACTCTGGCAGGATGTGACTCCTGGGGGCAGACCTGGCTGCACCCTGCTAGCCCCTGTAGCTATAGCTCCAGTTTATAACACAGGGCGGAGCTGGACCTTCTCGGCCTCCCACGACCCTATTAGTTCTCCCTCTCCCTTGCCCCTGTTAGTTCAAATAAACTGTTCTTTCTTCCTTTTGCTACACCAAAGACCCCTTGGTTTGCATTTGTGGTGACAAGCGCTAGGACCCATAAACAATGAAAGCGGTTCTGACCAGGTAACAGTTTTCAGACTCTGCCCAGTTACAGAGCTCCAGAAGGAATACCAAGGCAAATCAGAACGTTTCTTACTTTAATTTTTTCCTCATAGTGCTGCTCTTTCTGTTTCAGGTGCACCTCCAAGTGCTGGGCTGAGACCTGGGCCTCTCGGTGCTTCTCTTCTAGCTCCTGGGCACAAAAGAAGAGACAGTCAGGTATGCAAAAGGCAGGACATGGCCGATGGACGTTAGACATTCACAGGCAGCATGACTTTGGCACGGGCACCACAGGTAATAGGCATCTGTTCTTCACTGCTAGCCCTCGGGCATATTGGGAAGGAAACTACCAGCAAGCCTTGGCCTTGGGTTTTCCAAGTCCAAGGATTCACACACATACACACACAGCTGGTGGGCTGGAAGCAGAAACCTGCCAGGACAGTTCAAGCAAAGGCAATTCTTCGTCTCTGCATAGAGAAATAAGAGGAACAAGGCAACATCTGGAAGTTTAGTACAAAGCCCCTCACCACTATCTTGAGTCTCAGGTCATTTTCACTGCCATGAAAGCCTTCAATGAGAAAAGTGATGCTATTTTAAAGGCAAACTTAATTTATGACAACAAAAAGCTGTTTCTTATTTTCCCCATCAAAGTTATTGCTCAAGAATCCTAGCAAAGGATAACTATGTTACCATTCAAACACTTTGAGTTTTGAAAGCTTATTTTAACTGGTATGTGGAAAATGCTTCATGGAATCGTGTTTATATGATGCAGTGTTAATGGGAATAAAGCGGAACTTAAAACACACTGATGATAACGACAAAAATATGCATGCACATATATTAACAATGGGTAGAAAATCTGGAGTAATGTAGAATAGCTCCAATTTAATATTCTCTTCATTCTTTTAATTTTTTAATTTTTTTTTTTTTGCTTTTAAATAAAATTTAAGTCATTTGAAAATTATACCAATTCATTTGCCAATGTATTATGTACAGATCTTATAAAAGGCAGCATTCAACTCACTGGAACATTCTCTAGATGCAAATATCTGCATCTATACTAATTCTTATGAATCTGGACCCATTAGTTAATTACTAATATCAAAAGTCATTACTCCAACTTTTTATCTCTTCACACTATTTGAAATTTTTCTTTGAAGTGGAAGTAATTATGAGAATTTTGGAGAATGAGGAAATTATACAGGATATGTCCATAAAATGAGAAGAAAAAAATACTTTCAGATACACATGCACAGAAAATGTTACTGATTAAGCTTTTCAAATTCTAAAGCCTACAAGCATTGACTTCGCTTTGAGGGCCATTAAAGTGTTCGATTATAAGACCAGGTGCACAAGCTCTATTGCAATCTAGCAGATGTGATCTTGAAAAGTTGACTATAAACAGGATTTTAATTAATAAAAACATACTTTCTGGGCTGTATGAGTACTAACGGGTCTCTGCAATGACTTCCCTTCTTAAAGCAAAAGACTTGGCTATCATGAGAACCCCAATTATCTGTTTTGAAAATTCTTATCAGAAGAGCAAATATTTTATGGCAAATGACACTGGTGGGGGGGGTAGGGAGGAGAGGGTGTGTTCCAGCACACATCATTATAGATCAGTACCCAGAACCATTCTTTGCCCATGTCCCATATGCTTTGTAGCCTAAACACAGGGTTCTGAAGCAGAAGGGAACTTCTACTAAATGAAATCACAACCACAAAGGCACTCAGGCAGTTGGCAGGACATACAAGGACAAAGAAACCTGCTGAGTTCTTCTTCATGTTAGTAATCACTCCACAATCATCTTTTCTTAGTTTCTGTCTCATAATATAGCACAAAAATGAAGTCAAAATCCTAAAACTGGGTCTAAAACTCAGACTCACAACTTTAAGATCGGACTTCTGGTCTGCCTATGATTGGGAGTTTACAACCCACCAGGCAAGACTGCAGAACTCTGGGCTCCAACCTTTTCATTGCGAATGAACCTCTGGACAAGCAGAATTCTAAAACCTGACTTCTTGGAAGTTTGGCATTTTTTGTTGTTGTTGTCATTTTTTAAATATCTTTTCTAGATGTGTTGGCTCAAACGCTTCAGTCTTGGAATGCAAACACTGCGGTTTGCTGCTGTATTTCTAGTTCCTGGAACAGTGCCTGGCATATAGTAGAAGCTCATTAAATATTTGTTGAATGAATGAATGAACACATCACCATTAAACAGAGAAACACTGTGCAACCACAAGAGACTCAGCCACTTTGTCAGTATCAAGCAAGAGAGAGTGGTGGTGGGATCTCAGCAGGATCTAACTTCACTCCACACTTGATAATCACCAAGAGAAACTTGGATGATGGAACAAGAGAACAGAGAGAACAGACTAACAGTCACACTTGTCTTTGTGCTCAGACGTATATATGAAGACTGGGCGTCAACGCAAAAAACAACTTAACCAATTTCTCTTTTTTACCTATTTGCTCAAGAGCACCCATATACCCGCGAAAGTACACAAACACAGAAACACACAGTTCTTCAGGGTTTTCCCCTTTTTGGCATAAAGCACAGACCTGTAAGTTGGCCACTACAGAGGTCATATAGTTGCATCATTTCCCACAAGTGATGCAGAGAGCGAGAGGGATGAAGTGAGCCTGCTCATTACCTCGCCTCCTTGTGGTGGAGGACAAGGCCAACTACTCCAGAGTCGCTGCTGGGCCAGGGAGGAGGAGTTGGCTAGGAACAGACTCTCAAACGTGGCCCCGCATTCTCCTTTGGGCCTGAGACCCAGGGAAAGCCCTGTGAGTTCACCTGCCTGTGCCCCTGGCAGGGCCAAACTTCATCACATCTGCAAGCCCCGCCCCACCCCACCGCCCTTGATTTCAGTTAATTTGGTCAACAGAGCTGAAAATAGCATCATGATGATTACAAGCCTAAAAAAAGACCTGCTATGTCTTAGGATATTGAAAATAATAATAATAGCCAACTGAGGCAGAGAAAGTGAGTGGGTGAACACGGATCTCTGACAAATACTTCTCTGAGGAAAACAACTCTGCTGACTAATTTCTTTCTCCTCCAAGTGCAAGAATCTGGGTCTTGAGCTTAAAGGTCCAAGTCCTTATGCCTTTTTTTCCCCTTATGCCTTTTTAAACTGGCATTGCAAAATTAATGGCCACATGTACTTCTCTGCTGAGAGAAGTATGTAAATGCTTCTGTAAAAATGCATTGGGAATGACAGTATGCGCGTTTGGACTGAGAAATGCCAGGCAGCAGCAAACAGCAAAAAAATAATATTGATGGATCTTTTGACCAGTGCGGAAAGGTCCCACATTTGGTTATCACACTATACTAGGGCTAAAACCACCTCTCTTCTTTCACCTACTCGGGGACACCTCCCCTGTGCTGGTGTGTAATCCTTTTTACCCCCTTCCCTCTGCAACCTCTAACCTGTTAGCTTTTAACTTGTCAACTTTCGTTCCTGCTCACCAGAATTTTATCAGCCATCTGCTGGATCTGTTGGGATTTTGTCTGGATGTCATCCTTCAGTCTGTTTTCTCTACGCTCCACGGTCTCTAGCCTCTTTACCTTGTTCTCCAGAGAATGGCGGCGTTCCTGTAGGTCATGAATCAATCAGAGAGTTTTAATGGCGTAACCGCTACAGGCACAATGCCTATACCAAGGGAGAAAGCCCTCGAGAAGTACACGCTCCAGATAGGAAAAGAAGTCTCCAGGCACCGGCAACAGCGAAGGAAGAAGGCTCTAATCCCAGGACTCGATGGTGGAGATTACAAGAGTGCATTCATTCATTCAAATATTTACCAAGCGCCTACTATCTGCAAAGAACCCCCCTAGGCACCTCGGAAAACACAGAAAGAAGTCGACACGATTCCTGTCCTTGGAGCAGAGAAGATAAACACAAACAAACATCAGACATGTTAAGAGGGGGCAGAACCATCCGGTAAGTAGGTATGGAGCACTGTGGGCAGTGGCAGGCAGAAGACAGGACTTAGCTGAACAGGTAAGAGAAGAGTCAGACAGACGTGAGCTCTGCGAGGGCCAGGAGAGAGTGGGCTGGGGTGGGCAGGGCAGGTGAGGAGGACACAAGGCCTTCCAGACAAAGGCAGGTGCTTGAGAGGTGGTGGAGGGCCAGCCAGGTCCCAAGTGAAGCCACAGTGGCACCCCGTAAGATATACTGGGGTTGAGGGGGAGGGAGGAGCAGGAGAAAAGGTGAAAGGGTCACATGTGCAGGGCCTAGAAGTGTTCAGAGTTTCATGTGCTGGGCTGAAAGGTGCACTTGAGATATACAGAAGCCCTGGAAGGTTTGCGATGGGACAGGGGGTACTGATGAACCTTGTGTTTGAGGTCGATGAGCCTGACCCTGGGAGCTAGTTGGAAAGAAGGAGAGATGGGAACCAGAAGACCAAGAAATTAGCGTATCTGCTTAGCTAAAAGGAAGAGGGCCTGGTCTGTGTGGTGCCTTCAGAAGGGGCCAGCATGGGGGGTCCGAGGCCAGGAGGGTGTAGCAGTATTTACAGGATGGCATGGCTCATTCAGCGCCAGGACCCAAGGAGAAGCAGATGATGCCAAGGCTTCAAGGCTGTGTTGACCAGATGAATGTGGTGGCTCTGACTAGCAGGAGGAAACTGAGAAGGGAACCCAGCTTTGTGGGGGAAGAAAGAGAGTACACTCTAGATTCGACGTACTGTTCAGACACCCAGTCACGAAGGGAGGGGGCAGAAGGAAGCACGGCCTGGGACAGGGGTGAGGACGGGCGCAAAGGGACGTGCAAGGAGCTTCCCGCCCACCCGTGACAGGGAAAGCAGAAGGCCCAGCCAGAGCAGCATAGTGGAACCAACTAGCACATCCACTCCGAGAAACCATCCCCACGCGTCGGAAGAGGCGGAGAGGAGGAAGGGAATGTGTCACGTTTTATTCTATATTCTTCAGTGCTGTGTAAGCTTTGGCACCAAGAAGACACTCATGTATTTCCTGTGTAATTATATAAATGATTTTAACAACAACAACAACAACAAAGAATTTAAGAAAGAGGAGAGGCCCAGAAATCCAGATCTGGGAATCGCCGACACACAGGTAACATCTGCAGCCTTGGGAGTGAATCTGCTATAAGCAACGTGGCAGAGAAGTCCAAGGAAAAGCAAGGAAACAGAGGGGAGGAAAAAACTCGGGGCAGAGCTATAGGTCATCTATATCCGCATAAATACTCCCAAGTTAGCCAGCCGCCAGAGGAAAACAGAGAGAAAAAAGTTATCAGCATGTCTTCCTACTCGAGGCTGCTATGACCAACCTCGGCCCCCTCTGGGACAAACATTTCCAGGTGTCTCAAGTTCCATTAGGATTTGCAGGAGGGCAAATCGTCTGATCAGACACAAGCAAGGGGTGGCCGTTTCTCTCCCTCGGTGCAGCCAAGGGCCAGTGGGCTGAGTCCTTCACACAAGGCCATGTGGGGCCCAGGAGTGGGGTCAGCCGGAGGCCCCCTGCTCACCTCAGCTTCAACCAGCTTCTTTTTGATGCCTTCTGAAGAATCCTCGCGGTTCTGCAGCTTCTCCAGCTCACGCTCGGCTCTTTCCTTGGCCTGGCGGATATTCTGCAGCAGCTCGGTAGCCTCTGTGCTGGCTTTCACTGCCTATCAGGAGAGAACAGCAGAGAGGGCCACAGCGAGTCGCGGAGAGAAGGTGGTGGCGATTCTAGCAGTGATACTGCTAGCTTAAGATACTGAGAATATGTAGTTTCTCCATTCTTTACAACACATCAACATGCACCTTATTCTCTAGCAATTCTGGGTACACTAGACTGTGTGCTACAGTTAAATGGACAACATCCTTTCTTTCTCGGGATAGAGAAGACGATGGTCATCAGGCCACGAACAGATTAGATGCCACGTATAAATGTGACAGAAACACCTAGTAGGACTGATCTACCCAGGTATTAATGTATTTACCTGGAAGCATTAACTTTCTGCACTGTTAAGTGTCCCTTGGGGAATGCGCACTATTTCCAAGGAAACAAAATAAAACCTATAAACTATTTTTCAATTAAATACCTCTCAGAGTCCACGCCAACCACGATTTTCTAAATTCACATTTATTAGAGCCATGCTCTAACCAACTGAGCTAACCGGCCACCGTTTCTAAATTCACATTTAAAAACAGCTGATCCTTTTGAAGTTAGTTTTTATTTGGATCTTAAGTAGACTACAGATCTTAGAGAATCATAGCAAAGATCTGTGTGTAAGAGACAAGCAATCTCACATTTACTGCTTTAAATTAAAATTTTAAAAAGGTGGGGGAGGGGTAGCTTCATCTTCCAGACCAGCACTGGCCAGCGTGGGAGCCACTGGACACAGCAACCACTGAGCACTTGAAATGTGGCTGGGAAAAGGATTTTTAGTTTTTTTAGTTGAATTCATTTAAAACCAGGAGCAGTGTAAATGGTTTAATGCTGACAAGCTATAATAATATTCTGGATATACTGGGTTAACTAAATGACATCATTCAAACAATTCTACTTATTCCTTTTTACTTTTTTTAATGTGCTACAAGAAAATTTTAAATTACATCTGGGATGGACATTTGCAGCTTGCGTCACAATCCAAATGAAAACACGAATCCTCATGAGTTTCTTGTTAAAAGAAAACAGCCTAGGCTCTCATTAGGGAGCTCAAGAACAGAAAAGGAGGAGACTGATGAATAGAAAACAAAATGTAATATATACAAACAATGGGATCTTTTTGTGTGTGTAGAAGAACTAGGGTGTAGGCCAGAGAAGAAGGGTGTGAGAGGATATACAAGATTCACCAGACAGAGTGAGGAACAGAACAGGTAGATCTACTGAAATCCACTGCTGAGGGGAACAGCGGGTGAGGTAGGTGAGGTCTGCTGCGCATGTGGGTCAGCTCCCTGGTCAGGGGTTGAACTCAGGCTGTAGTGGTGACAGCTGAGACTTAAGCCCTAGGTAACCAGGCTACCGGGGGGAGCCTACTATGGATTATGTTTTTTTTAATGTATTTATTTGTGCATACAGAACTGGGGTACAGGCCAGAGGTGCACGGACGGTGAGAGGCTTCACCAGAGACAGAGTGAGGAGGAGAACAGGTAGAAGGGCAAGGTACACTGCTGAGGGGAGCAGAGACAGGGAGAGGTCTGTTGCGCCATGTGGTCACCACCAGGGCCAGGGATCGAACTTGCACTGAAGCGGCTTGCTGCGCCACCAGGGAGGGCCCTACCATGGAATATTAAGGAAGGAACATACCCTCCCTTAAAAAGGAGGGTCATTTGCTACAATGTGGATGAACCTCAAGAAAAAAGTGCCTAGCAAAATAGGTTGCTCACCAAAAGGCAGATAACATTCTTCCCACAGGAAAAATCAAAAGCAGTGAAAATCATAGAACCAGAAAGAAGAGGGAGGTCACCAAGGGCTAGGGCGAGCAGGTGGGTTACTGTTCAGCAGTTACAAGTTTTTAGTTTTATAAAATGAAAAAGTTCTAGAGATTTGCTGCATGATAACATGAATGCACTCAGCACTCTTGGAACAGTGCCCTTAAAATGGTTAAGATGGTCAACTTAATGTCAGTGGTTATTTACCAGAGTTTAAAAAAGAACAGAACAAGTGAGAAAAGGCTCTATTAACCACAGCAAGCTCACACCAGCTCAGAACCACAATCGCACCACGGCCAGAGACGTGCCCAGGGCTCCTGCAGCCCGCCTGCCTTCAGGTGCAGGGAAAGCACTTCTGATTGAGAAGAGTCTGGGCGTGAGCAGACAAAAGTGCAAAATGGGAAGCCTGGCCCCCTGGAGGGAGAGAAGCCAGCCAGAGGTTCTGTTGTAGTATAGTTAGAACCACACAACTTGGTTTTTAAAAATAAACACTGCTGACAAGTCTCAAAAGGAAAAGTATACCCAGAATTCTGGTATGTCCAGGAAAAAGCTCACTCCCCCTTCATTGGCCTCAGCTCTGGGTGACAAATTCGATTTCTTCGAATTTCATGTGCCAGGACAAGATAAAAGTATTTGGAAATGGGGGAAGAGTGATATGTTCCCCCAATTCACCTCAGGCTTACCTTCTCCAGCTTCTCTTGGAGCTCCTGAATTTTGATTTGCTGCTCAGCATTGATCTATAATTAAAAGCCCCGGAAATAAAGCAAAAGGTAAATGATCATTAAGTTCGCTTTACAGTCATTGCAGTCCTGTTTCTCGGTTTCTGTGGGGCCTTTTGGTTTTGTTCTTCAGTACCTACTAATGGAGAGGAAGACAGTGGTTGCCCATGTAAACTATCCCCATGTAAACTCCACCTTAACAATTTCTCTAGAACTAGCAACTACAAATGGCAGGAAGAGAATCACCGTCTCCCCAAATGTAAAGGCAGCAAGAACGCTCACCTGAGTTACTAAGTACCTGGGCGGATCTGTTACTGTGAGAAGGTGTGACCCAAAAGTGAGGTGTCTTTTACTACTTTCAGGACTACAGCTGAGCTAAACGTGGTTGCCAGACCTTAACTGTGCCAGCCAACCCACAAGAGCATCCGATCAGCTAGCTTCTGTGGAGAGGAACATTTAGAAGACTGCAGATCAGATCATGGAAAATACCTTCTCCAGTTTGGAATATTCTCCCACTTCAGGCTTCCCTTGATCCTTAGCCTGTAAGTGAAGAGAGACGACAAATTGGAAAATCTCAGGAATCTTAAAAATCTTACAGACAACACTACCAGCTGTACTTTCTTGATCTCTGTGACCCAAATGATGAGGATGATGAGCTATTTCCATTTCCTTACATGTCACAACTGGGGTCTTCCAGGGTATTCCATAATCTTCACCCCCCCCCCCATCACTAGGCTAACGGGCCCTTCATTCTGGCTCAGATCACCTGTGACTTGACTGGAAAGACACGCTAGGACAGAGGCGGGTTACCTTCAGGAGTTTGTGCTGACACTCTGTCGCTTTCCGCTTAAACTCCTCAGCAGCGAGCCGAGACTCCCTCAGCTCAGATTCGTAGAGATCACTCCGTCTTCTTGCAGAAACGAGGTCCTCCTCCAGCTGATTCATCATCAGCCTCATTTCTTCTACCTGAGCCTGGTACTCCTAAAGAGCAGGCAAATGGAAGAAAGAAATGTCTTCTTTCTGCCCGAAAGAAGACAGGAACTGGGGAAGGGAGAGGGGCGAGGTGCTGAAGAGACAGGCAGACCTGGAGACACTGTAGGCAAGCAGCCAGCCCCGGCTTGTGTATGTGGGGGGGGGGGGGGGGGGGGGGG